CATCCAGCTCTACATCTTGTTATCTTAAAGTTTAGTCAACCAAAGTTTTACCTGTCAGTCCTAGAGATTTTTGCCAACTATATGATGGATACACGTCCGTCCCTGTGTAACCCCGGGGTACAGTACCAGTGGGGACACCTCCATCCCTGTGTAACTCCGGGGTACATTACCAATGGGGACAGGCCTAATGCCATACACTTCAAATAATACTCAATAATAAATTATGTAAATAGCAAAGATACATCTCTGCATTGATCTATAGTATTAGCTTTAGATTATCTTGAACCCAAATTATTCAGGCTAAACTACAGGCTGCAGACGCCATCGTTTTCTGTGCATTGACAATCCAGAGGGGCAGTATCCATGCTCTATAAAACATGAAATGGTTCAGCAGGAATTGACAGAATTAACCTGGTGCTCTCTGGCAATTTCAAATGGCAAAACACACGTGGAAGCCATTCACACAATCTACAAAACCCACTGTTCTAAAGTCACTGTGTTTCCATTCTTTATTCCCCAAGGACAGTGCCACAAATTGCCAGGGGAAATAGTCACAGCTCCGTCACTTGAAATCTGCAAGACTAATCTTTAGATTATTTCTATTCAAAAACTTTAAATTTCAGGATGATCATTGCAGCAGATGGTTTCGAGAGCAGCACCAGTTGGTGGAATACAGATAATAGCCTGTGATGCGAATGCATCTAAAGTAAAAGTCAGAATGGTGCGTGGTTTTGAGAGGAATTTACAACTTGCAATATATCCATTCACCTACAATTCCATATCTTATAGAAGGTGGTCAGTTTATTCCATTCCTGTTACTATGTCAATATTCTGGAATACCTGTGCTAACAGTGTTGTGGGTATACTATAAACTGGCTATTCAAGAAGGGTTAGGGTTAGGGTTAGGGTCTAGGCCTGAAACGTCAGCCTTCCTGCTCCTCTGAAGCTGCTTGGCCTGCTGTGTTCATCTTGTTGTCTCAGATTCTCCAGCATCTGCAGTTCCTGCTATCTCTGTTCAAGAAGGTGGTCCAGTTTCAGCTGACAAATCGATAACAAACACTAAGTGCTGATCTTGTCTACAGCATTCACATCCATTGAACATACTGAAGGAAAACAAGCCCCTAGAGAAGCTGCTCCAGTATAGCTACAATACTGGCACTACCCAACAATTTGGAGAATTGCCCAGGTATGTCCTGTTCACAAGCAGGACAATTCCAACCTGGCCAATTACCAGCCCATCGGCCACTCCCGACCATCAGTAAAGTGATGAAGGGGTCATCAACAGTGCTATCAAACAGCACCTTCTCAGCAATAACCTGCTCAGAGATGCCCAGTTTGGGTTCCTGACCTAATTACAGCCTTGGCTCAGTTATGGACAAAAGAGCTGAATTCCAGAGGTGAGGTGATAGTGACAGCCCTTGATATCGTTCAAGCAAGTGTGGCATCAAGGAATTAAGCAAAACTGGAATCAGTGGGGACTGGCTGAAGTCACACCTGGCATATAGAAAGAGGTTTGTGATCGTGGAGATCAGTCATCTCAACTCCAGGACATCTCTGCAGGAGTTCCTCAGTGTAATATCACAAGTCCAACAATCTACTTCAGTTTTGTTAATGAACATCCCTGCCTCATAAGCTCAGAAGTGAGGATGTTTGCACAATGATTAGCAACATTCCTGACTCCTCACATACTGAAGCATGTCTAAGTACAGCAAGACCTGGACAATGTTCATGCTTGGGCTGAAAAATGACAAGTAACAAGTTCTATGCAAGTGCCAGGTAATGATCATCTCCATAAAAAAAAAGAGAGAGATTCTAATCATCGCCCTTGACATTCATGATATTACCATCACTGAATCCCCTACTGTCAACATCTTGGGGATTACTGCTAATTGGATGAGCAACACAAGCGCTTTGGCTACACGAGTGGGTCAGAGACTCAGGAATTAGCAGTGAGTAACTCACATCATCATTCCCTAAAGCCTGTTCACCATCTACAAGGCACAAGTTAGGAGAGTGATGGAATGCATTCCAATTGCCTGGATGAGTGCATTTCCATCAACAGTCTAGAAGAGCCTCCATTGATTGGCACATCCCCAAACATTCATGCCCTCCACCAAAACTCAATGGTAGAAACATATACCATCTACGAGGTAATATGAAGGTAGACAGAATATATTTATTGAAAAGGTAGAATCTATCTTCCTTCTCTCAACTTTACCTGGTTCATCTCTGACTCACTGTCCTGACTTGGGAAAATATCTCCGTTCCTTAACTGTTACTGGGTCAAAATCCAGGAACTCCCTCCCTAATTGCACTGTGGGTCTACCTGTAGCAAACAGACTACAGCTCACCACTACCCTCTCAAGGGCAATGAGGGATGGGCAAGAAATGCTGACACAGCAGCGATGCCCACATCCCACGAATGAAAAGAAAAAGGAACAATTACTCAAGGTCTAGACAGACTAGCCAGAGAGACAAACTGTTCTCATTAGTCAAGAGTGAAAACTAGAGGACACAGGTCTAAGGTAATTGCAAACAAAAATTATTCATGCATCAAAAGGTTTGGATCTGAAATGCACTGCCTGATCGTGATGGGGACAGATAGCATAATGGCTTTCAAAAGGGAACTGGATATGTACTTACAGAGGGGCAAAGAAAAGTGATCAGTCACGGGAATAGAACTAACCAAGTTGGACAATTTGAGAGATAATCAGGATAGAGAAAGACAGAAATGGTACCTAGAGTTGTCCATCCCATTATAATTCCTGACATACAAACCATCAGCTTCAATGATCTTTATTCTTACCATGCGTTGAGCTCTTTTATGATTCGATCGCAAAATGAAGGGCTTCAGAAAAAGCATCCAGGGTACAGCAATGATTGCAATAATCACCAGAAAACTTTGAATCTCTTGCTGTAAAAACAGGAAGTTAATTTAGAGAGAGAGGTATTGAATTTCCACTCAGTGCCTGTTGAGCAGTATTCCAGCAGACTTGTCAAGCCTGAATTCCCTTTTGTAAATTCATGCTGAATCTGTTGATGCTGCCACTGTTCTCCAAGTGTTCTACTATTAAACCTTTCATAAGAGACTAACGTTTTCTCCACTAGTAACGTCAGACAGAAAAGTCTATAATTCTGTTTTCACACCATCTCCTTTTAAATTAGTGAGGTTACATTATCCAATCCATACGAACTGTTACAGAGTCTATAAAATCTTGAGAAATGACCACCATCTACATTTCTAGGACCACTTCCTTAAATACTCTGGTATGTAGATTATTTGGGGATTTATCAGCATTCAGTCCTACTTTCCTACTAACACAGATTTCCTTCAGTTCCTCTGTTTCCAACATTTCTGATATGTACTGTGTGTTCTTGGACTGGAGGCTTGTGACCAGCAGTATGCCGCAAGGATCTGTGCTGGGTCTGCCGCTTTTTGTCATTTATATAAATAATTTGGATATGAACATAGGAGGTATGGTTAATAAGTTTGCAGATGACACCAAAATTGGTCACGTAAGGGAGAGTAAAGGAGGTTATCTCAGAGTACAAAAGGACCTTGATCAGATGGGCCGAGGAGTGGCAGATGGACTTTATTTTAGATAAATGAGAGGTGTTGCATTTTGGGCAGGATTTATACACTTAATGGTAGGGTCCTGGGGAATGTTGCAGAACAAAGAACTTGGAGTGCATGTTCATAGTTCCTTGAGGGTGGAGTAAAAGGTAGACAGGATAGTGAAGGCAGCATTTGGTACACTTGACCTTTTTTTGGTTAATGCATTGCGTTTAGGAATGGGATGTCATGTTGAAGCTATGCAAGATATCAATAGGCCACTTTTGGAATGCTGCATTCAATTCTAGTCTCCCTGTTATAGGAAAGATGTCTTTAAACTTGAAAGTGTGCGGAAAAGATTTACAAGGACATTGCAGGTGTTGGAGGGTTTGAGCCACAGAGAGAGGCAGAATAGGCTGGGATTATTTTCCCTGGAGCATCAGAGGCTGAGGCGTGACCTTAGAGATTTATAAAATCATGAGGGCATGTATAGGGTGAATAGCCAAGGTCTTTTTCCCCCGAGTTAGAGCAGTCCAAAATTAAAGGGCATAGGTTTAAGGTGAAAGGGGAAACATATAAAAAGGGGCCTTAGGGGCAGAGGGTGATGGGCGTATGGAACGAGCTGCCAGAAGAAGTGGCAGAGGCTGGTGCAATTACATTTAAGAGACATCTGGATGGGTACATAAATAGGAAGGGTTTAGGGGATATGGGCCAAATATTGGCAAATGGGACTCGATTAATTTAGGATTTCTAGTCTGCATGGATGAGTTGAACAGAAGGGTCTGTTCCTGTGATGTGCAATTCTATGACTCTACTATTTTTGCAAACATGGAACCCAAGAATGCATTTAGTTGATCAGCCATCTGTGTTCCCCATTATAAATTCCCTCTGTTTCTGCATTTGACTTCAGCCGTCTTTTTCTCTTCACATATATATGTAAAGTTCTACAGTCAGTTTTTATTTGGTCCTCAGGTCAATGTCTAGATGGTTTCTCAATGGATTGGTCCAGAAAACCATCCCGTACACACTCCAGCTCTTGCTTACAATGCCTCAATTACCTTGTCAACCACGTTTTACTCTTTGTACATCTCTGCTTCTACTGTCCTTTTAAGTAGTGTATGCACAATCCTTACCACACTGAGTGAAAGATTACCTCCTCAAATCCTCTCAAAAACCTCTGGCTTTTATGCTAAATCTATGTCATCTGGCATGTGATTAGGTCCATTACCCAGAAATAGCTTAATAACTGAAAATGCTAATGCATGTTTGCAGCACACTATGTGGATATGAATAATAGAGGATTTTTATCTGTCATTCGACCAGCAATTGAATTTTAGTCGAAGCTCAAATAAAACACACACTTGCCTGATGACCGTATAATGGCTGGTTAGAAGGATCATTGTAACTAAACAGAAACATATTGATGAAGTGGATTAGAATACTGGGAGCAATCTGAGAATTCTTAACGTGGTAAAAACACCACTTAAAAATAACCATGAAGACCAGGTAACCAAATAAACTCAAAATGAAGATCATCTCAGGAACAAACTGAAGGATGATGTTGACCTTATTTTTAAAGTATCTGTAAAACAGAAAAAAGGAAGGAACAAGTTATAGTCAGATCAAGACCTTGTAAAGAACATTTTGTCTCACTAATGAATGTATAAATATTTGCATTTATATACCACCACTCAACCTTAAGACATGCAATGCACTTTTCAGCCAATGAGGCACCTTCCAAATATGTAACATCTATAACTTTATACTGTTTTACATTTTTAATGTCAGAAACAGTACCTGATTTGTACATAGCAGGAACTCTCAAACAACAATGCAACAGTGTCCAGATAATATTCTTTAGAAATATTGGTTGGGTAATAATTATTAGACACTACACCATGGAGATTTCCCCTTTTCTTCCTTAAAATAATGCAATGAAATGTTCTGTGCCTACCCAACATAGCAGAAGAGCACGAAGGAAATGCTGATCTCTCAGAGGTATGATCTTTCAGATAGGATTATAAACAGAGATTTCACCTATCCTCTTAGATACTACTTGAAGAGAAGCAAGACTCCTGCCTGGCATCCTGGCCAATACTTACATCCCTTCTCTACACATACTTTCAGATCAAGGGTCAGTTAATTTCAAAGCATTCACCCGAGATGATGTTCACATTTATCATCCTCCAATGAAAAGGGATTGCTCATTTCTAATCTTGCTCAAATGCTGACTCATTTGGACACATTTGAAACATCTTCAGAAGAATAGCCTTTAACTGTAACGTTTTTCCGGCTCTGGAGTCAAGTTGGCCAAATAGATGAAGCATCAATAGGGAAAAAAACTTAGGGAACAGTGATCATATCATCATGAAGTTTAGCTAAGTTATAGAAAAGGGTTATGAGTATTCTAGAGCAAGAATACCCTAATTGAAAAGGAACCCACTTTTTGTCTGGAGAATGGAAGTGTCATGGGTAAACTGGAATCAGATTGATTGGAAAAGCTTGAATCAAATAGTTAGTTTCCTTCAAATATTATAAGTCCTCTCAAAGTTGTGATTCCTAAAATCTGACTCAGTGAATCACTGATTTCTGAAGTTAAAACTGGAGTTTGGTTTCTTTACACATTTCTTGCATTGGAAAAGTCATGTACAGGTTGAAATATTTTATTTAATATGTACAATACTGTGCTTTCCTGGCAAAAATAACTTAAAATAAGATTAAATTGCAAAACAGAAGAGAAATACTATACAGTTGGTTTCTTCAGGACCTCAGATAAAAACGTTAACCCACTAAATTAAATTGGTGTGCATGCCCACATTCATGGATAAAATAATGTTATGAAATACATTTAAAACAGAAATACAGTATAAAATTTCTGTAAATTTATGCTAAAATACACAGCTGATGAATTTAGAATTGATCAAACTCCATCTAGTGGAAAAAGCTGATAGGTGCAACTGAATGATCTACATTAACTAATCCGTCATTAAGCTGACTTCAGTGCAAGTTCAGAATGTGAAGCAGAAACGGTGCAGACACTGGAGACTTCAAATGTACTACAGAGGGCAGGAACAGGAAGCCAACAGCAGGATGGTGGGGTTTGGCAGTGAAGAGGGACTGTAGACAGGGACAGAAATCAGAGGAAGCCTGTAGGACCGCAGGACTGAGGGTGGGAGATCAGGTCTAAAGAGCAGGCAGACCACAGAAAAGAACTCTGAAAAAAATTCAAAATGTTGTTTGCCTCAATGCTAAACTAATATACCGTCACTATTTTCTTAAAGACGTTGAAGCAAAACAACATTAACTGACTCAATCTTTAAAGGGGACTTGCTGCAGGAGCTGGCGCAGGTGTAGTCGACATACTTTGCCAAAATGAGGGACAGGTAGGGTAACAAATGCCAGAGCTGCCTAGGTAAGGAATGTGTGAGTGAAATCATGCGTACAATAAAAAGGTCAATGAGTAAGTGAGGAAAGGGAAGAAGAGAAACAAAGATAATATAAGGGGATACTGGCGGGTAACATGACATGAAATTCAGAAATCTTCTACAAGCAAATAAATGGTAAAAGGATAGCAAGAGGCAGGTTTAGGGTGATTAAAGACTAAAAACAATGGCCTTATACGCAAACATTTTTTGACATGAGTATTTGTCTCTCTCTTTACCAAGGATAACGCTGTCAAAGTCATGAGGAGGCAGTTGCAATACTGAATGGGCTAAAATCAGTTAAAAAGAAGGGATTATGAAGGACAAGTGTAGGATATCCTTAATTTATCTATAAATGAGCAAAGGGATGATGATTATGGTACATTGGAGATGATTATATATTCAGAAGCATGCTGGCAGGGCCAGCATTTATTGATCATTCCTATTCATCCTCAGAAAGTTGGTAATAAGCTGGCTTCTTAAACCATTACTGTCCATCCAGTACATGTACACTAACTGTGCTGTTGAGGGAAGGAGTTCTATGATTTTAACCCAGTGCCAGCAGAGGAATAGCTAGGTAATTCCAACCAGGATTGTGTGCGGCTTGAAGGTGAATGCTCCTGTGTAAAACCTACTCTTTATGTGGTCCAAATCATGGATTAGGAAGATTTTGAGGGAGAATTCGCCAATGGAAGATGCGTACATCAAATCAAGTTGCTCTGTCCTGGATAGCACCAGTCTTCCTGCACATTGTTGGAGCTGCACTCATCCAAGTCGGAAGATCATGGGATCAATTCCTGTTCCAGAAACCTGTTCAAATAGTTCAAGCTGACACCTCAGTGCAGTGTCTCCTCAGCATTGCTGAATCAAAGATGCCAACTTTCAGACTGCTTTAACCTTTGAACCTACCTGTCTTTCTAATGGGCTAATGAGACTGCATCAAAACAGGAGAAAGGAAGTCACCCTAATTTCTATGCAAAAATGATTTTTCAACTGGATAACCAGGGTAGATGTGGCCTTTACCTCACTGCTAAATAATCAGTGGACGATGATGTGTGGAAACTGGCAGCTACATTACAAGTGATTGTTAATATTAGGAGTACTGTGGTGTGGATTGAATCTGTCAATGTGCAGGCTCTCATCAGATTAAGGATAACTGATCCTGTTTGGGGAAAAAGTTAGGCGCATATACAAAAATCAATTTAGGGGGCTTGTAGCTCAGTGGCTATGTCCGTACCTCCGAGCGAGAAGTTTTTGCCTGGAAACCCACTTCGACAAAATTGCGACATGACATGTTGATTAAAAATAATTCATAAGGAGCAGTTTCTACTTGAGGAGTACTTTAGGCATGTAGAAGGGGAAGTATTCTTGGATTGAGTATTATGAATAAACCCAATGAAAGATGACCCCTTTCCTGCTTTTACCTTTGTCAGACACAGAGGTTTATCTGTTTACCAGTGATTATATCTCAAAATATTTCCCTAGGTCTAACGTGTTTGGGAAAATGTGGTCACAAAGAACATGATATATAAATGCAGAAATTGCTGGAATAGCTCAGCAGGTCTGACAACATCTGTAGACAGAAATCAAAGTTAACGTTTTGGGTTGAGGAAGGGTCACTCGACCTGAAACTTTAACTCGGATTTCTCTCCACAGATGCTGCCAAACCTGCTGAACTTTTCCAGCAATTTCTGCTTTAGTTTCATATTTACAAGATGTGCAGTTCTTTCGATTTTTATGATATATAAATATCTCTCTACATAAATAAACCTGGAATAATCTCTTGCACTTACACGTGATTAAAAATACTGAGGACCACACCGAAGATCATCTGTATGATACCGAGAATGACTGACATCTTCATCTTGTAGGAGTTGAGGAAGGTTAGCTTGTTTGAAGCTATATTCCAAATCTTTGGAATAATAAAGGATATTTATTACTAGCTGTTGGAGGTGAAGTCAAAAGTAATTTGGAGATTATAATTTGCATCACTGATGTGTGTGTAAACTCAAGCATCATTGCATTAAATTCCTTTCTCTGTGTCCTCAACCGATGTATCTACTGTGACTACACACCTTACCCCTTTACTGTTCCTTATCCAGTTATGGGCTGGTCATTAAAATGATTTTGAGATAACAAGGTGTAGAGCTGGATGAATACGGCAGGCCAAGCAGCATCAGAGGAGCAGGAAAGCTGACGTTTAGGGTCCAGACCCTTGTTCAGTCCAGACCCAAAACATCAGCTTTCCTGCTCCTCTGATGCTGCTTGGCCTGCTGTGTTCACCCAGCTCTACACCTTGTTATCTCGGATTCTCCAGGATTGGCGGTTCCTAATATCTCTCTCATTAAATCGACTTGGTGTTTTGGTTCGAGTAGATTGCCAAATGCATGCCAAATGCCCCAAGCTCATCACTTCATTTAATGATAATGATTTGGTCATTTGGTTAAGATCATAAGACAGAGCAGAAGTAGGCCATTCAGCCCATCAGGCCTGCTCTGCTCCGGCTGATATGATAATCCTCAACTCCACTTTCCTACTTTTCCAACATAATGTTCGATTCCCTTCCTGATTTAAAAAAAAAACTCTCAGCTTTGAATATATTTAATGACCAAGACTTAACAGCCCTCTGTGGTAAAAAAAAAGTCCACAGAATCACCACCAAGGGAAGAAATTCCTCCTCATATCCATGCTAAATGCGCAACCCCTGAATCTGAGATTATGTCCTCTGGTCCTAGGCTCTCCCCCGTGGGGAAACAACCTCTCTGCATCTACCCTGTCAAGTCCTCTAAGAATCTTCTATGCTTCAATAAGGTCTCATTCTTCTGTATTCCAACAAGTGCAGGCCCACTACTCTGCCTCCCTCCATAAGACAGACCCTCCTCCATGACTGGTATCAGCCTAATGAATCCTCTTTGGTCTGCACCCAATGCCTGTACATCTTTTCTTGGATAAGGGGCCCAAACCTTTTCACAGTATCCCAGGTGTGTTCTACTAGTACCTTGTATAGTTTTAGCAAAACCTCCCTACTTTTATATTGCTCCTTTTTGAAATCAAGGCCAATATCCCTTTTGCCTTCCCTATTATCTGCTGAACTTGGATCTTAGCTTTTTGTGATTCATGGATGAGGACTCTCAAATCCCTATGCTTTCTGCAGTCTTGCTGCAAATTTTAAAAAAAAAATCTACTCCTTTATTCTTCCTGCCAAACCTTTTCTTTTGCCCCATAATGTTCCAGCCACAAAATTTTTGCCCAGTCATTTAATCTGTCTATATCCCTTTGCAAACTGAGTCATACCCACGACTTACCTTTAAGAGAAACTCAATGAGAAATGGAAAAAAAAAGGAAACTTGCAGTAATGCAGCAACCATTTCATAATTAACATCAGAAAGAATGGAGTAATTATGTATTATTCCTCACCGGGTCAATACCAAATGGGTATGGATTGCCAGAGAACACTCCAGGCACTGCAGGATCTAACTGGAGCAATAGATTGTTTTCAATAACATGGTTACTGCACAAAGAATGAAAAAAAAGACAAGGAGTTATCACACTTTTGGGTTAAAGGCAGACAAAAAAATATGTCAAACGTAACAGAGGATTTCAAAGTCCTGGAATTAGCCCAGAGGAAGACCACCAAATTAATACTTATGGCAAAGATTTCTATTAGCTTGGAACCTTTAATAGAAAATTGCCAAGATGCTGCACATCGGCATAAGCTGAAGGGGGCACAGAGCGGAAAGAGATTGTGAAAGGGGTCAAAGGCTTCGTCAGAGATTTGGGCCTTAAGTACGGTCTTAAAGGAGGAGAGAGATGAAGAGACAGAAAGGTTGAAGGTGCAGTCATCAAATTTTGGGGTAAAGTGCGGTGGAAAGCACAAAAGGTAAAAAGGCAGGATAATAAATGAAAGGGCAGGAGTAGCTTACAGAGATCTGGAGCAATGAGGCAATGGAGGAATGGAGAACATGAACTATTCAAACGGAGACATTAGTGACCCAGGTTTTAAATGTCTGTTATCAGAATTAAAAACTGCTATTATCATGGAAGGACAATTGACAACTGTATGGGTGCAGTTCAACCTTCGTAATACCACCTTCTGAATAAAAAGAGTTTGTTTGTGATAGATAGCTCTATGCAGAAGTATAAAGTTACAATGGTCTTTAACAACTCGAATGGGGCAGATATAAATTTAGCCCTGGTTCCTACTTTGAATGACTCTCCTTTTCAAAATGGGAGTGTGGGGAGATTAGGCAACATTTCAGGCATGGGTTGTAATAGAACCCTGTAGCTGAATAGCCTACTAGCCTATTAAAGGCCCCAATTATAACTCAGCCCAAACGAACTTGCACAGAGTGAAAATCTCATTCATTGTCTGACCTGATACAGAAACATTTGCCCGAGGTATCAGACAGCTCACAGTTGTGGATCATTCTGCACCTTCAAAAGTGAAGGAAGGGGAGAAACTATTTATGCTGAGGACGGAACCTCAGATGTTAAGTTCACAGGGTGGCTTCTGGGTCCAAACTCAGCCTTAAATACAAAAACAAGCGACCACAATTTCAATGCAGAGATGGTCAGATGTAACAAATGGAGAGTACTGGAGAAACTCAGCAAGTCTGGGCAGTATCTGTGGACAGAGAAGCAAAATTAACATTTCAAGTCCATCATGAGTCTTCTCCAGGAGTTCCTCCAACATGGTCTGTTTCAGACTTCAGAATCTGCAGTATTTTGCCTTTATTTGAAGGGTCCGATGTGAATAGGTTATGTAAAAGAGAACTACACCAGCAGTCAGACTTACTGATGATATCCATTGGGAGATTGCTGGACTGAGTCAACCTTCTTGAACATTTTCTGTTCTAACTTGGGGTACAAAAGGTGACACGTAAAGGTTCTCGTTGAGAACACTTGGAATTTGCAGGTGGTGGCTGACCATCAGTTGCTTTTGAGAAAGCTTCAAATCCTACAAAACTTCTAACCTCTTTAGAAAATAAAGTCAGTATTCGAATATCGTCGAAGAACAACAAAAGGAGTTGCAATTCTATGGGATTTCACTCATTTCTTTTAGCCGGACATCGACAGGGACTTGGATATAAAATGCCAGGTTCACTAATCTTCACTCTAATTACTGTGGACCGTTGGGAGGATCCCATCCCAGAGGAAATAACTCAAACATCAAGTGTCACTGTTTTATTGCACCTCACCAAATTTGAGCAATTATCATCTGATCTCACATCGCTGAGATTCTCAGCAATTAATGACCGAATGATGTTTTATCACCTGGCATTGGTGTTGAGACTTACTTCCAACTTCCATTGCGAAACATGGCCCCAACATGCCACGAGGATCCAAATATGTTGAAAGATTTTGAAAAGCAATCATTGTAGATGAATCCCGTGTAAATGGAAAATATACTCATCAACAGGATGAGGTAACGTCCACTGAAGAAGGTGTTCCAGATCTGAATTTGGAGCAACAAAAGCAGTTTAAGGCTTCTTTTTTAGTTGTATGCCGTGGCTGTAGGGAGGGAATTAACTTCCTACCAATTATATCGTTCTACCTATCTAAAATTGTTGTGAATGAACAAAATTTAGAAGCTCAAAAGGAATAGAACAGATTACTTGATTATTTGCTGCCCTTATCCTTCTAGATGGAAACGGTCATGGCTTTGGAAGGTACCCAGATCAGAGGATCTTGATTGAATTTTTGCAGTGCATCTTGTAGATAGTGGCAGCAGTGTGTACCGAACGTTGACAGCAGAGGGAGTGAATGTGGTGCCTGTCAAGTGGGCTGCTTTGTCCTAGATGGTGTCACATTTGAGTGTTGTTAGAACTGCATCCATCCAGGCAAGCAGGGAGTATTCCATCACACTCCTGACTTGTCCCTTGTAGATGGTGGTCAGGCTTTCAGGAGGGAGGGAGGCAAGTTACTCACAGCAGTATTCCAAACCACTGACCTGCTTACACAGCCATTGTATTTGTATGGCTAGTGCAATTCATACATAGGATATAGAATCCCTACAGTGTAGAAACAGGCTATTTGGCCCAACAGGTCCACACCAGCCCTCCAAAGAGCATCCCCACCCAAACCCATACCTCTAACCTTTCCCTGTAACCCTGCACTTCCCATGTCTAATCCACCTAATTTGCACATCCCTGGACAGTTTAGCATGACCAATCCACCTAAGCCGCACATCTTTGGACTGTGGGAGGAAACCTGAGTATCCGGAGGAAACCCATGCTGACATGGGGAGAATGTCTGTGTGGAGTTTGCACAATCACCCAAGGTTGGAATCGAACCCAGGTCCCTGGCGCTGTGAGGCAGCAGTGCTAACCACTGAGCCACCATGCCACCAGTTATGCTGCTCCTAAAAGTGCATGCCAAACTCGTCAAAAGGTTTCACCCACCTCATTGCCGCCTTTCTGGGCAGCAAATTTTTTCTCATTGATGATCATGATAAGTGCAAAACCCAGCAGAACTGCTCCATGTCCACAATCGCCAAACATGACAGCAAACAGAAACGGAAAGGTGATGATTGTATAGGGAGCTGGAGAAACAAAGCAGGACATCTCTCAAACTATTGCTTACCATGGGATAGTATTAGGAGAACGTTGGCAAATTTATAATGATACAATATATTTAACATATTGAAAAAAGCAACAATCAAGTTCATTAATGCTGAAGGCTTTCAACTTTGAAATATAAGTGATGAATAGATGCAGAATCAAAACCTAAATCTTATCATCATCCACCAGTAGGGAAAAAAGAAGTAGGAATGTGGAAAATGAATATTCTGTGGTACAGTTGAGCCCTGTCACTCTGTTAGCATCGATATGAAAAGACCAAAGACATTTCTGACATGCATCATCTTCCGTACCTACACTGGCCCTAAACCCCACCTCTTCCTCCGTTACATTGATGACTGTATTGGCGCCGCCTTGTGCTCCCACGAGGAGCTCGAACAGTTCATCCACTTCACCAACACCTTCTACCCCAACCTTAAGTTCACTTGGACCATCTCGGATACCTCTCTCTCCTTCCTGGACCTCTGTTTCCACCTCTGGTAACCACCTGGAAACCGATATTCATTTCAAGCCCACCGACTCCCACAGCTACCTAGATATCACCTCCTCCCACCCACCTTCCTGCAAAAAAATGCCATCCCCTATTCTCAAATCCTTCACCTCCGCCGCATCTGCTCTCAGGATGAGGCATTCCACTCCCAAACATCTCAGATGTCCTCATTTTTCAAAGACCGCAACTTCCCCCCCCTCAGTGGTCGAGAACGCCTTTGGCCGCGTCTCCTGCATTTCCCGCAAAACATCCCTCACACACCTTCCCCGCAGTAATAACCAAAACAGAATCCCCCTTATCCTCACGTACCACCCCACCAACCTCCGGATCCAGCGCATCATCCTCCGACACTTCCGCCATCTGCAATCCGACCCCACCACCAAAGACATTTTTCCCTCCCCACCCTTATCTGCTTTCCGGAGGGACCACTCTCTCCATGACTCCCTTGTCCGCTCCACACTCCCCTCCAGCCGCACCACATCTGGCACTTTTCCCTGCAACCGCAGGAAGTGGTACACCTGCCCCTTCACCTCTCCCGTCACCCCCATCCCAGGCCCCAAGAAGCCTTTCCACATCAAACGGATGTTCACCTGCACATCTACTAATGTGGTATACTGCATCCGCTGTACCCATTGTGGCCTCCTCTACATCGGGAAAACCAAGTGGAGGCTTGGGAACCGCTTTGCGGAACACCTACGCTCGGTTCGCACTAAACAACTGCACCTCCCAGTCGCGAACCATTTCAACTCCCCCTCCCATTCCTTAGACGACATGTCCATCCCGGACCTCCTGCAGTGCCACAATGATGCCACCCGAAGGTTGCAGGAACAGCACCTCATATTCCGTTTGGGAACCCTGTAGCCCAATGGTATCAATGTGGACTTCACAAGCTTCAAAATCTCCCCTCCCCCTACCGCATCCCAAAACCAGCCCAGCTTGTCCCCGCCTCCCTAACCTGTCCTTCCTCCCACCTATCCCCTCCTCCCACTACAAGCCCCACTCCCATCTCCTACCTACTAGCCTCATCCCGCTCCCTTGACCTGTCCATCCTCCCTGGACTGACCTATCCCCTCCCTAACTCCCCACCTACACTCACCTTTACTGGCTCCACCCCAACCTCTTTGACCTGTCTGTCTCCTCTCCACCTATCTTCTCCTTTATCCATCTTCTATCCGCCTCCCACTCTCTCCCTATTTATTTCAGAACCCCCTTCCCCCATTTCTGAAGAAGGGTCTAGGCCCGAAACGTCAGCCTTCCTGCTCCTCTGATGCTGCTTGGCCTGCTGTGTGCATCCAGCTCTACGCTTTGTTATCTCATGCATCATATGTTCGGTTTCAAGGCATTTAGAATTGGGTCGATGTCTGTTATTTAGTACAGGCAGTTCACACTTGCCTAAGAATAGTAAACCAATTTTGCTCACGTTACTATTTACTGTTCAGGGTACACAAAACAAAAAAATGTTGAAGTTTAGTTACCAGGGTTCATTTCTCTGTATGTCCCAACTCCATACGCATCCACAATATTCTGAAAGCCAGCTGTGAATTTATTGGTCCTATTGAAGGTGGGTGGAGCCATTTGGGTCTGCACTACAGTCATGATGGGGTCAACACTGGAACCACTGCGTTCCTGAAAAATAAGAAAACAGTACGTTTCATTCATCAGTCAACAAGAGTAAAGACTTCTTTGTCACCAAGCGCAGTGACAGTGTGCTAGTGGGTGCAATGACTGTGTTGAAGATGCATAGAAGAATAAGCATTTATATTTCTAATTGACTGACTGTGTATGATAACCAATTATTGCATCTTCACAAGGTTTGCTTTGATAATAAATATATAATTATTGGTTTATTAAGAAAGTCTGTTGAAAGCTCTTGATGCTTCAAACCTGATAGTTGATAAAGGATTTAAATGGTCACATTGATAGCTGGAAGCACTATTGTTGTTTTATGTTGTGATTGGAGGAGTAGTGGGACTAGGGAAATGGTGCATTCCTCCAGACTTTGTCCTAACATTAAGAAATTGTTCACATTTCTCCAAAATTAAAATTTCATCACCTCACTGCCACTCCACCAGTCTGTCCTCGTGAAGGCCTCCCCACCCTGGTTATACTCTCTTCCACTGGGCAGAAGACAGAAGATATAAAAGTTTGTATACACAGAGTCAGGAACAGTTTCTTCCCCACCATTATTAGACTTCTGAACAGACATCTCACATTTTAAACATAATATTGATCTCGTTGTCTGTGCACCTTCCTCTGCAGTTGTAACATTGAATTCCTCACTCTGTTCAATCACCCTAATGCACATTGTATAGTATGACCTGCTCGTCCTGCATACAAGACAAAACTTTTCGCTGTACCTAGGCACATGATAATAATCATCAAATCAAAACCTTTGTTTTTGTGCCATCTGTCAATTTTGGAATTGGCTTGAATATGAAGTACAGAGCACAATCATAATGCAAAGAAAGTGGGGACCCTTATACCAATGTCTGGGGACTCCCACTACATAACTCCTTTCAGTATGGAAAAACGAACATTTATCAATACTCACTGTTTCATTCAAAATTGTCTAAACATCCTGTTCAGAGATGGTATCACACATCTCTGGAATAGGTGGGACATAAATTAGAGTCTCCTGGCACCACAAGACTTCTCTGAAAAAATAAATTGCTTCCATTGACTCTTTGCCTCCTTGGGTTATAACTTTGCTGGACAGCTTTGTGTTACTTTATCAAATGGCTTTTTTTGGAGAGGTTATGTACACCACAACAACTGCATTAATTCACCATCTGTCATGGTTGCCTTTTTAAAAAGCTCAATTAAGTTTTTTCCAAATACAATTCCATTAACTATTCCAATTCTGACTTTCTTAATGAATCACCAGTTGTCAAACAATCATCACCTTTAGATTTTCATATCTAAAAGCTTTCCCACCGAGAAGCTCAGCTTACAGACCTGCGCTTGCCGAATTTGTCTTTATGCCCTTTTGAGAAAAAAAAAGTATGAAGTTTGTAATTCTGCAATCCTCTGGCACCACTTTTGTACTAACAATGTGAGGTGGCAGGATGTTTGAGAGTATGGCTTCCACAATTTCATCCCTTACTACCCTCACCATCTTCAGGTAGATAGTACCTGACTGGTGACTTTCCAACTTTAACTACAGCCAGGTGTTCTGAGACCACTGTCACTTCTGGCTTCCCCAATATCTGCCTCCTCATTCAGTATAAATCCAGTAGTACCTTCAATCTTGGTAACATCAAATGCATGGTATTCATTTAGTAACCCAACCATGCCCCCTGCCTCAATGCATTTGATCAAGTCTGCATTGAACCCTAATTGACTTCTTTTACCACTTCTATGCATCTGGAAGATGTTTGGATTTCCTTTTAGGCTAGCTCTTAGTCTATTCTCATACACTTCCCTTGTTTCGTTCATCATTTCACTTTTTTTAAACTGCTCTCAGACTGGTTTTCATATGCACTACTAATCTGACATCTCTCCTTTTTCTACTTCAGCTTGTTTTCTCTCTCTTCCATCATACAGTTAGTGTTTTCCCTGCAGGTGGGACTTGAACCAGGACCGCCTGGCCAGGAGTTGGGAAACAACAACGTCACCAAAAAAAAAAATTCCAAAAAAATATCGTATTAATGCTTCCATTGACTCTGTACCTCCATGGGCTTTGGCTTTGCTCTTTATGGAATGTACCTCAACTGCATCCAGATCATCTACTGTTTGAAGGTTAGCCCTTGCTCTGTTACAGTCTTATCAGCTCCTTCGTTCTAAATTTACCTTGGACAGGTTCATTCTCGTGTCACTGAAATTTGTTACACCCAATTCAGTATTTTAAAAAAATACTTAAATTTGCCCTTGACATTCTCTGCAGCCAATGCAAACCTTATGACACTAACATCACTGCTTGCTACATGTTCCCATACTGACACATGAACTAATTTATCAGTCTCATTTCCCAGAACCAGTTCCTCAGAATCAGAAACATAGTGGCCAAGAAAATTCCACTGAATACTCCTGGAAACAATTTGTCGTCTCCTCCATTTTCACTATCATACTTAAATATATGAAAGTATAAATTTAAATGTTATTAAAATATTTCACGCACTTCTCTAACTTCCCTTCAAATTTGCATTGCATATCTTTCCTATAGCAGCTGTCATGTGGAGTGCACTCAGTAGTGTAGTGACACCTAAATTAATAAATACATTCTGTGCTTGGCCCAGTTAGTATAATAATCTCCCAAATTAATACCACCCACCCCCACCTTCTTCCTTTCCTATCTCTACTGAACATGTACCCAGGAATATTTAGTACACAGGTCCATTTTTTTTTTGAGTCAAGTCTCCATTAACACAACATCGCATTCTTGTGCGCTTAATTACATCTGCAACTCACCAGGTTTATTGACCATGTCTCATACTGTTACAGGCAATGCAATATAAACCTCCCATTTATCACCTTGAATTGCTGTTGAGTCTGACCTGGTGTAATATCTTCCTATTTCTGACTTGTCTATGTTTCTATGGTGAACTTCCTCTGTACAGGATAATCTCAATACAGGAACAAGACTGCGCTTAATTCATTCGAGCAGGAAGCCAGATGGTGAGCTGCTAATTTTGCGCAGTTTACAGAAAAGTAACAACTGGAGTTTCACTTTGAATGCTACATCTGCTCTCACTTGGAATTACTACCATAAGTGGAAAAAAAAAGTGAGCCCTCTTTTACAACAAAATCCAACCCAACTCTCTTCATTCTATCTGGATGCATCATGGCAACTGTTCCATCCAGGAACATAAGAAACTACAGCAAGTTATAAACACAGTCCAGTCCATCACTCAAGCCAACCTTCCATCCATTGACTCCATCTACACTTCTGGATGCCTCAAAAAAACAAAACAAAAAAAAAAAAAGGCAGCCAAAGACCTTTCCCACCCTGGTTATAATTGCTTCCAGCCTCTTCCGTCAGGCAGAAGATACAAAAGCTTAGACACGCGTTCCAACTGATTTAAGAACAGCTTCTTCCCAATTGTTATTATACATGCGAATGGATCTCTCAAATTTCAAACCTAGTGTTGATTTTGCTTTTTGTGCACCTTCTTTACAGCCGTAACTTATTCCTCACTCTATTCAATCACCCTGTGATCTTTGTACGTTACGATCTGCCTGTACTGCATGCAAAATGAGACTTTTCACTATATCTAGGTACATGTGGCAATAATAAATCAAATCAAATCAAATCAAATCAAAACCTGCAGCACAATGCTTTTATGATACAACAGCTTTCTTGTTAATTCATGTTTCTTCATTGAATATCCTGCAAGGATGTTGTGACCATCAGAATAAAAAAAAAGAGTAAATTTCTGCTAGCTCTAGGGACATTTGAGTGAAGTAAAAACAGCTGGCACGTGTAGCTGCCATAAGAAACATGTTTATTTGACTAGCAACTGGGTTAATCCTATTTCCAAGGAACTTGCTCTGGAAATCCCTTCCTAACAGCTTCCAGATACCATGAACATTATTCACAGTTCGCTGCTCACCTTGCCTTGATTGAGTGCCATCTTGATTCTATCCATATCAGCGACTGGACACCAAGTTTCTGCAATCAGGCATTGTTGGGTCACATCAATGTTGCATAGGTTCAGCGTGTGATAGATCGCCTTCATTTTCACAACCTTCACTTGCCAGTTTCGTAGGCTTTTCGCTGCTTCTTGCAGTACACGGCGCCGATGGCTTTCAGTCTGGTTAAGTACCTGAAAAATTAATGAAGTGAATTCTCAGAAGCACTCAGAAAATGCAACCAGTTTGTGTTTTAAATGAATAAAACAAGTTCATTTTCAAAAGGAACAAACAACAATGGATGATCTCACACCTTTTTAATCATCGCATTTTCAGATCTGCTTATAAAAGAATATTGTGATAGGGGAAAGAATACAACTATTTTAATAGACTGACTCTAAAATAACTAATCAATTCAATAGAAACAATTACAGGAGAATCAGTGAACACAGGCCAACAATATTAAAATGATATCAATAATCTACAATTGGCATTCTAAAGTTCTAATACAAAGGAAAACCAAATAAGCCCTATCAGGATAAGGTCTATATTTGTGGAAAAAACCAACTGAGTCCAACCTGATTTCCACTGAGGCTGGGGTAGCACATATGCATAATGCCTCAACTTTTGGCATCAATACTCATTACAGGTCATCATTCACAAAGAGATAGCACAGAAACAGACCCTTCAGTCCAACTCATCCATCCCAACTACATATCCCATACAATTCTAGCCAGCGTTTGGCTCATATCCCTCTAAACCCTTCCTAATCATATACCCATCCAGATGCCTTTTAAACGTTGTAATTGTACCCGCCTCCAACACTCCTCTGGCAGCTCATTCCATACACACACCACCCTCTGCATGACAAAGTTGACCCTCAGGTCCTTTTTTAAATCTTTCCCCTCTCACCTTCAACCTATGCCCTCTAGCAATTCCCTACCCTGGGGAAAAGACCTTGCCTATTAACCATATCCATGCTCCTCATGATTTTCTAAACCTCTATAAGGTCACCCCTCAGCCTCCGACACTCCAGGGAAAATAGCCCCAGACTATTCAGCCTCTCCCTATAGCTCAAACGGTCCAACCCTGGCCATATCCTCATTTTTTCTTAACCCTTTTCTAGTTTCACAACTTCCTTCCTATAGCAGGGAGACCAGAATTGCACACAATACTTCAGAAGTGCCCTAATCAATGTTCTGTAGAGCCACAACATAGCTTCTCAACTCCTATACTCAATGCACTGACCAATAAAAGCAAGCGTATCAAACGCCTTCTTCACTATCGTATCTATCTGTGACTCCACTTTCACTGAACTATGAACCTGCACTCCAAGGTGTTCAGCAACACTCCCCAGGGCCTTGCCATTAAGTGTATAAGTCCTGCCTTGATTGGTCTTTCCAAAATGCAGCACCTTATTTAAACTCCATCTGCCACTCCTCGGTCCATTGACACATCTGATCAAGATCCTGTTGTACTCTGAGGTAACCTTCTTCGCTGTCCACTACACCTCCAATTTTGGTGTCACCTGCAAACTTACTAATCATACCTCCAATGTCTTTCAAGAGACTAGTTCACTTTTTAAAATAGCTGGATTTGCAGAGGGTCTAAAGATGTCCTTTGCTCCATTTTAACAATTTGCATAGATTCAGAGGTGTACAATTCACTTTATATTTTACAATCAGCTTTGTTGACTACACTTGGCTGACATTTCACAACTAATGTTCAATGATTTGGGACATCAGTGCGTCAGTGTTTGCTAATAAAAGCTGGATCGCGCTGTCCAAGAATTTCACAGGCAATGCTCCAGAATAAGATTTGGTTTCTGCTATTACAATACACCCTGACCAGGACTACAGATTCTGCATTGGAGGTCTCCTGCCATCGATCCAGTTACATTAGCTGTTGGACAGCGCTGTTACGGAGCAGAAGGGAGTAAGTGTCTGAAATGGATGGAACTGAAAGGAAGGGTAGAATAGTTAGTAATGAATGTACCTGGTTATAGGAGAGGAAATATGATGTGCAAATAAGGCTGGATAGAGATGAAGGGGCATAGAAAGGCTGGTTGAAGCAAACAACAATGTTGGCGAAGGGGCAGAAAGGGCAATGGCACATGGAAATGGCACAATCACCGCTAATTTCCACTTTATATGGATCCAGGAATCATAAAGTATGGTCCCATTTTGTCAGCATTGTTTCGCCAAGCCTGCCTTGGATGCCACTTTAAGTTTTGCTGTAGCCTCCAGTAACAGTGGTCTTAAAATCAGTTGTAGATTTCTGTTGAAGTGGGGATACATTTTCCTCCAAGGGGGAGAGAGCGAGAGAGAGAGAGACCCACACACACAGTTAAGGTCTCTGCAGTACTATTGCTATCTCCAGCACTTGGGTGTGAGAGTCCATCTACAATGGCCCAAAATCTGTATGAGCACACGCAGGGAACATTAGCGGCTCATATAGTGCACCTTCTGGTTGTTAATACAGATACATTTGAAATCTACAAAGGGCACAAAAGGGCTACTAGTAGGGGCACCTTTTACTTTAACATGGTATTCAGATCCAACTTGCAATGCTGTCATTTCACTTTTGGATGGATACTAAACTGGTCATCAGTCACAGTGAAACAGGAAGCTATTAGAAAACATTGTCATATTAGGGATTTATCTTGGAGATATCTGCCAGCTCAAAGATCTGAGAGGATGGAATATCCATGAAAATTTCTCTTAGAAACAGAATAGGACCATAAGTGAAGTTGGCAAGAATTATACTCAATGTTTTCACCAATGGTATCATTAAAGTCAGCTTCAGCCCATTAGTTTTGCACATTTCTAAAACGTGTTACATATAGCAGGTGTTACTGTTATATTGAAAGGCATGCATTGGGATCTCGTACATTAATGGCTTCAGAAATAGAATTTTTTCAACACTAAAGTGCTGCAAAGTTTTAGTTTGTTACACTTTTGGCTCCATTAAACTTATTTAGGGGTGGGAGGGGGCTGTGGGCACAGAGGAATGACACAAACATACGATATGAGATTTTCACCCGCAGTTCACGAGCGATCTTTTGAAAACAAAAATCCACAAAACACAAAATGCTTTCTTCCCCCTTGATAATACGATATTGAGCACAGCTGCAGTTCAGCTAAAAGATCCTGTCTAAACGTGCTGCCCTACTATTGCTGCTTTTTATAGGCCATAAGTTAGACCCTTCACAGACAAACCTACAATTACAGAACAGAACTCCCCTAAATACTAAAATTCTTCAAATGTGTTGTAAAAGGTTACTTTGGAACAGCCCCTTGGGCACTTGCTTTTGGTGGCATAGTCTTGCATTTTTTCTGAAACATTCTTTAAGAGGGGTGCATCGTGGTGGGGAGTAGGTTATAAGCTATGCTGAAATTGTTAGTGCTATTTTCTGGGTTTTGATGATCGTTGTGTCCAAACAGTTAATGTCCTAGATTTGCAAGAACACCAGTCCCCATACTTAAGCAATGAGTTTGACTCATCAGTTTGGGGTTTGTGGTCTTAAGCAGCATTTCTAAATGCAACTTAAATTCAACTCTCATATATAGCCAGGGTGTTTAACATTGCTCAGTCCTTTGAACGTAGGAGTTGGGATGTCATTTTGAGGTTGTATTCGGCATTGGTGAGACCTCTTCTGGAGTAAGATGTCCAGTTCTGCTCACCCTGTTACAGGAAGGATATTGTTAAGCTGGAGAGGGTTCAAAAGAGATTTACCAGGATGTTGCCGGGTATGGAAGGTTTCAGTTATAAAGAAAGGCTGAATAGGCTGAGGCTTTTTTCACTAGAGCATAGGAGGTTGAGAAGTGACCTTATAGAGATTTATGAAATCATGAGCATAGATAGGGACAATGATAGATGTCTTTTCTTTAGGATGGGAGATTTCAAGACTCGGTGCATATTTCTTAAGGTGAATGGAGATGGATTTAAATAAGACATGAGGGGTAATTCCTCACCTCCCTCCACCACAGAGTGCTCATTTGTGGAAAGAACTTCCAGAGGAAGTGGTGGATGTGGGTACAATTACAACATTGAAAAGACATTTGGATAAATACATGAATAAGAAATGTTTGGAGGGATATGGGCCAGGAGCAGGCAGGTGGGACTAATTTAGTTTGGGATTACATTTGGCATGGACTGGTTGAACCAAAGAGTCTGTTTCCGTGCTGTATGAGTCTATGGCTCAGGCTTGTTGTGGTATTTTTATATCCCATTTTTAGGAGGAGGAATTTAGTGACTGTCCCCAACTGGTGGTGCTGGGCTTCTCATTGAATTACTGCAGACAGTTTGGCAAAGACAGTCCCCATAAATTGCTGAGAGGAAGGGACCTCTAGAATGTTCATTCTGCGCCACTACAGGTATAGCAACGTTCCTCCACATGAGGGTGATGAAGCTGTGAGGAGGAGGTTTTCTTACAAACCTTATGCCCTTCTAGAGTTGAGGAAATGTTGCCATCTGATTTGGCAGACTCACTCTCTCACAATAAGTGATTAGTTTGACCCTGACTGATGACAAGAGAGGGAGACACGTGGCATTTGGTGTTCAGCTGACAACAGTACAGGGAAGGCATTTTCCAGCCCGATAATGGCCATTGCTGCTGGGATCTCCTCACTTACAGTATTTAAATCCTCAATGCGCGTTTTCACACCAGCAGCCATTTCGCGACGTTCGTTGGCAGATTCAGGACATGGGTACATGGTGGCACGGAACCTGAGGCAAACCAGAGGAAAATTACCACTTTCTGATAAAAAAAAAGCATTCAACATTACTGGCAAAAATACCATTTATTATCTACCTCCTGGCACACTTGGAAAAATGGTAGCAGTCTTTAGTTAACCACTTGTGCTTAGTTGTTGCTTATAGCTGGGCTATTTCTGAGGCCACTTCAGAATTCGATTAGGAATGAATGTTTTGATGCATCCTGGAGTTCCAAATAGCTGAGATCGGGCATTGACAATAGGTTTTCTTCACAAAAGGTCTCAGTGAACCAGTTCATGAATTTTACAAACAGCTTCATGGTCACTTTACATGATTTCAAATCTTTATTTTTAATTGCAAGAATGAACTGATTTGCAATGGTCAAAAAGGCCATGATTGGATGTAGACTCAACTCCACGTGCTGCTGTGCATGAGTCTGAAAGGGTTAATTCTGAGGAGTGTCTTAAGCACCACCCACAATGGTAACATCACCTAGAAGGGCATGAGAGCTTAGAATCTGATATCCAGTTCTCCTCAATCTCTGTAACCATCGTGGTAACGTAACCTATAACTAGCTACTAACACAAAATAAGTCAAGAGACTTCTAGTTTTCTTTTAAAAGAAGTGATTAGCCAGCATTTATTATCCACCCCTGGTCCCAGCTAAGAGTCAGTTAACAGCAGATTTTCTTCTCCAAAGGTCCATTCATGAACAAGATGAGTTTTTACAACAATGTTTGTAACTGCCACATCGTCACTATTAGACTAGTTTTGTATCCCAGGCTTCTATTGAATTCAAATCTCACCATCTGCCATAGTGGGATTTGAACGCATGCCTTCAGAACATTAGTTTGGGGTTGCATGGATTACTAGTCCAGTAACTTTACCACTATACCACTGCCTCCACCCAGTTAAACCAAGAGGTGGTTTGCCTCTGCCAAACAGACCCTGTAGATTGTATACGTAAAGCGAATGGTGGTAAACACCTCCATCTTCGGTAGCAGTTCATACGGAACGGTGAGTTGGCATGTTCCTACAATACTCCAGGTTATTAGTTAAACCCCATAGGTTATTAATTCAGCAATATAAACATGGACTGTAACTATTTCTTTGAACATGGGTCACATCTTTCAAGCAACCCAATGCAACAGTGAGAACTACAGGAACTCTTATTGCTACACCAGTTTCTCACTCGGTGTTGCTCATTGCATTGTTCTTCTATCACTATCCTCTTCAGGGTCCCTAGAAACAAAAGCTCGGGAAGGACCCATTTGTCCTCTTCTGGCATTATTTTGAAGAGTAGGTGGGGTTACTCACAGCGTTCTGGTCAACATTTATCCCATAACTAACATCATTGAAACAGATCACCCAGCTAAAATCACATGGCTGTTTGTGGGATCCTCCTTTGCAAATAGCTTTGCCATTATAATTTCTATACTGCAGCAGTCCCTTCACTCCAAATGTAATTCATTAACTGTGTAGCATTTCAGGAATGTCATGGGGTTGTGAAAGGTGCTATGTAAGTGCACAACCTACCACTTTATAATCACAAGCAAATAGAAAACAGCAAGGAAGTGTTTAAAAGTCGAGATACAGGGAGTGCCAGTGAAACAAACACAAACACTAAAAGCAGCAGTAAATAAATAACCGGAAAGATAGAAAAAAAAAATACGTAAATAGATGCAGGTTAAAAAAAAATCATGACCAGCAATTGCAAATGAACTACAAAAACAGGCAGGCATCACTCTAAAAAACTGAATTGCTGAGAGCCAGCCTGCATCGAAGCCCATTGACAAAAACAAAGAGAGGCATTCAGAATAAAACAAGGAAAAAAAGAACAACTTGCATTTGTACAACACTTTTCTGACTTCAGGACATGCATTGACTGTAATGTATTGTAAATGAGGCTTTTCTTCGAGGTGCAGGGCATTTAGCTGCAAACTTTCACACATCCAGGTCCCACAAACAAACATTGGTAAAGATCACTGGGGAATCCATCAAGTGGACAGCGAGAACCTTGTCATAAGCCATGAACTGAACGACCACACTTTGACAATGCAGCACTCCCTCAGCGCATCAATAAAATGGTGACCTAAACGTGTCTGTGGAGCCTGGGCCTAAATAGGCCTTGTCACTCAGATTCAAGATAGTTGCCACTGAGCCACAGGCCTTATGATCTCATGGCCTGGTGCTTCTAAGAACGCGAAAGTAACAGTCTCATTGTCATGAAGGGACCTTGCTCGCCTCCTACTTGAAAACATGCACCTTCCCCAAAGCACATAATACAAAATATTCACACAGACACATATTGTAGTCAGTCCTGCAGCATTTAGCTTAAAAAGTAAACTGAAATTAAAGCACTGCACTGTAAAAGGTGGCTTTGCAAACTGACTAATTGTCAGAAATCAGCCAGGTTTCATGTCTGCAGGAATCAACCAACCTTTAAAGTGAACTTTTAAAACAGGCTGGGAGCTGAAATGAGATTATTTATGCAGAGACACAGACACAATCAATTGGAGTGTCTGATATGATAATCAAGGTAGCTGGAGTAATCAGACCACACAAGGGCTCTGTTCAAGTGATTATCCTGACTACTGAATTCCTGCAGGCAAGCGATTATCAGGAACTGAAGAATAATCACCAGTGTCTGGATCTACAGCCACGTTCCTTGGAAATATTAATCTCAACACTGTTAGAAGATAAAAATATTCTCCAACTTAATGATGCTGATAAGCCCAGAATTCTTCCCATATAAACAACACCTTATAATTACTTGTTCATGGGTGGTGCGTGTCTCCTATCCTTAATTGCCCTTGAGGTAGCAGTGAGCTGTTCGCAGTGTTTGGGGTGCAGTGCAGCCACAGCACTCTTAGGGAGGGAGATCAGGACTTGGACCCAGCAACACTAAAAGGAGTGGCAATGTATTTCCGAGGCAAGATGACAAGTGATTTGGAGGGAAACTTGCAGGTGGCGGTGTTCCCATGCATCTGCTGTCCCTCTAAATTGTGGAGGCCAAATGTTCAGAAGCTGACGTCAAAGGGTTGAAGTACTGCAGTGCATCTGGTAGATTATAGCCTGCCACAATGCTTTGGTGAATGTGGTGCCCATCAAGCTGCTTTGTCCTGGATGGTGTCAAGCTCCCTAAGTGTTATTTGAGCTGCACCCATCCAAGCAAGTTGGGAATACACCATCACACTCCTGACTTGTAGATGGTGAGTGGGCTCTGGGGAGTTACTTGCTGCAGCACTTCTACCGTCTGACCTGCACTGGTATCCACAGTACCTATAGGGTATTCACCATTAATTGTTTTTTTTAAACTCGTTAAGTATCTGTCTATGTGACCACTGACTTAGGATGTAGAAGTGATGAAATTAAGCGCTCATAGAAGCTGCTGTTGAATTGGTTTGTAATTTGGTTCATCTCCAGCCTTTTGTCAATTTTCATCTCAGTATGGTTGCTCTTACTATGCAATAGCTGAAAGCTTTACACCTAAAACCATTTACTGGCAGCTTTGCAAGCTCAGTTAAAACTTGCTGCTGGTGTTTTGAAATGGGATGACAATATTTTCTTATCACTCAATTGAATACTGGGAAATCACAGTCATACATAGTTTTTAGTCCTTTATGAATAGTTTTGAGTCTTCTATAAATGAGACAGGGTGGCTACATGTTCTGTTTAGGACTGTTGCATAAAGTTAGATGCCACACCTTTATTTTCAATCAGACATAGCAAGAACATTGCAACCACGCAGCAGAGCATTTTGGATACCGGAGATCATTCACCCTTTTCATTACATCCAAGATGTGTGAGCTTAAGCAAGCGTTTGCAGCTTGGCACTGCCTATTTTACTTCTCCACTGAACTGATAAAGACCTTCCAACTGTAATGGCGATAATACGTTGGGGTAGTAAATTCTGAGTAGCCTCTGAGGGATGCACACAAATACTAAGAAGGCCACAACCTTCAGTTTCTCAAGAATTCACCTCCTTTCTGTTTCTGGGAGGTGTTTCCAAGTTGGTGGTTGCAATGAAAAAAAAAATCACCAACAACGCAAGCAGTTGCATTCATAGTCAGCAGTTTACATTGCTTAGTCTCAAGAGCAACTGCTGAAAGAAATATGAAGCTGCTATTTGGATCCCCAACAACCCCAACCACCATGTTGGTTTCCTATTCACCAAGGTTCCATGTGTGATCACTAGTGTACATGGTATACATCTGAGCCACAGAGGTATTATAGAGAAGGACCTCAAAAGCTAAAGCTCAGAGTCATTAATATAGTGCCATGGTCAGAGGACACAGAAATTCCACAGAAAACCATACTCTCTACAATATTTTCAGATATAAATGCTCTTTATGTAAAAATGGCCAACCTTGATGAACTCAAGATGGTCAAAGTCACAAGGTCGTATTTCTGGAAGCTTTTGAAGCCCCTTCATTCCTTAAACGTTCCAGCTAAAACTGGCACAAAAGATTATTGACTTGCTCGCCAAGCTGGTAGGTTTGCCCCGGGATTAGAGAAACTCAATGCCGTAGCATTCCACATATTCAGGACCAAAAAAGAAAAAAAAAATGCAAACCAACTTACCATCTCGGCGAGACAGTCAACAACTGCATCAACAACCCGAGCTACAAATCTTCAAAAACCTTGACGCAAAGGGCTTGGAGTTGAGTGTCTATTTCCCACCAGTTTTGGACAAAGTAAAACATCAGGATCCATCGCGTCCGTGTTACTGGTATTGTAATGGGGAAGGTAAAGCTACACCCGCTAGCTTACTGACCTTCTAAGTAGCCACTGAGATGGACCATCAGCATCTGAAATGTCTGTATTTGACATGACTGAAATTGGAATTAGATGAATTAAGCAAGCATCCGATCTGGGAGCCGAGGTTAGTTGCTGACTGACCTTCACAGGGACAACAGGACTCTGGGCTGAATTGGCACCCTGCTTCAGACTCTCCTGTGTCTCCACATATCTGGCTGGGAAGAAGCTAACACTTTGCCTGCAAGAAGGAAAAGCAATGCAGCCCAGCTCAACTCAGGAGCTATTTTTGAACTCTGACCAGTGGGAGGTTGTGACTCATGTGAGCTAATTTATTTTTTAAAAAGTACCCATTTTAACAAAACTTGTAATTTGTAACCTCTCTTCTCTCCAGTCTCGTCTTCCTTAATTTCCTGAGTAAGTGTGCAAGTGAATGGACTACTGAAACAATCCCCTAAGTTTGAACATTTTCTTTGATTTCGTCGTAAAGGATTTTGCTGTGGGTTTATTTCACAAGTTGGAATTTTAAAAAAACAGTATTCGAGAACACCTTTTGACCTTAATCCAAGATGGCAATAGAATAAGACATTCCAGTCAGAGCTCCCCTGCTCACCAGCTCCTGTTCCTTTCTTCTTTTTCCCTCTTTGTGGCAGTTTCTCTACTCTTCTCCCCCACCACCCCAACATTTAACTCCTTAAACTACCCCACCCAGAGAATGGAGGGGAAGTGAAGGGAGAGAAGTCGCAGCCAGAGCCCGGAACAGCAACAGTGTGAGAGGGGAGCAGAGTGAGTCACGGGCTGGGTCCTGAAGTGGGAAGCAGAGCGAATCCTGGAAGAAGGTCAGTGCATGGGGGAGGCAGCGCGGCATCGTGTTCTGAAGTCCAGTAGGCACAGACTCATGTTGGAAAAGGACTTGAGTACTTTAAAGACACTTTTTATTTACATTCTTGGCTTTTAACTCTGTATTCCCGTGCTAATTTTCTTTTACTATTTCAATTTGGTGAAAGTATCTATGCCTAGGTACCCAGTATCTAAGATGGCGCAGAGGCGCAACATTACAAACTTTTCACCGTCCTCATTTGAATGTATGCTACAATATAGGTCTCCTCTACCTCTACCCACGGTAAGGGACAGGTGTGAAAAAGAGGAGGTGTAAAAAGCAAACAAAACTTCTATAAGACGACAAAGGCAATCACCATTTAAATTCACCTCCATTTCCGGCTCTTCAGTCCTGAAGGGAGGTTACAGATTGTTAACTGACTGAGATTATAGCCACTCTGTCTGTCTGTCAGTCTTTGCTCTCCTCTGCACTGCATCAACCTGAATTGAACTCAGTGCGTCAGGTTTCAAAGCAAGTGCACACGGAATCATAGAGCTCAGAAACAGACCTTTTTGTCCAACCAGCCCATGCCAACCATAATTCCAAACTGAAACTAGTCCCACATGCCTACACTTGGCCCATATCCCTCCAAACGTTTCTTATTCATGTACTTCTCCAAAAGTCTTTTAAACATTGTAACTGCATCTGTATGCACCACTTCCTCTGGAAGTTCATTCCACACACAAACCTAGTGTTTAAAGAAAAATATTCCCCCTTAGGTCTTTAAATCTTTATCCTCTCATCGTAAAAATATGCCCTCTAGTTCTAAGATCCCCCACCCAAGGGAAAAGACCTTTGCTATTCACCTTATCAAAACCTCTCATGATTTTAGAAACTTCTATAAGGTCACCTCTCAATCTCCTACATTCCAGTGAAAAAAAGTCCCAGCTTATCTCACCTCTCCTTATAACCCAAGCCCTCCATTCCCGGCAACATCCTGGTAAATCTCTTCTGAGCCCTCTTCAGTTTAATAATATCCTTCTGAGAACAGGGCGACCAGAACTGGACACCGTACTCCAGAAGATGCCTCACCAACGCACTGTACAACCTCAACACAACATCCCAACTCCTATACATCTTCAGCATGACCTCTAATTTGTAAATATTTCACTATCTCCAACATTATTCACCCAGTTTCTAGAAAAAGAAAATACCTAAAAAAAAAAAATTAGAAGGCCCATCTGTGAAGCCCAGTGATGTGTCTTGGGTTTTCAACTTATTAAAAAGAAACTGAGGCACCCACAAAGTGTTGACATGTGATTCATATCCACTGCAGTAAAAAGGATCACCTCACCCATCGCAAATCTTTTGCACTTTGTGTCTCAACTGGTCCCCTTGAAAGAAGATGATGAACACATTCTTCTGGACCTCCACAAGCTGTAAAACATAACAATCCATCAAACAGACAGCAAGAAGGACTAGAATTCATTCATTAGGATGGCACGGTGGCTCAGTGGTTGGCACTTCTGCCTCACAGCTCCACAGACCTGGGTTTGACTTGAGCAACTGGAAGGTTTGAGTTTATAAGGAGAGGTGGATAGACGGGGACGTTTTTCGCTTGGAGCGTAGGAGACTGAGGAGTGATCTTATATTGGAGTATAAAATCATGAGAGGCATAGATAAGGTAGATAGCCAACAGCTTTCCCCATGGTAGGAGTCTAAAACTAGAGGGCATTGGTTTAAGGGGAGAGAAGAGAGATATAAAAGGGTCCAGAGGGTCAATTTCTTCCCCCCATACAGAGGGTGGTCAGTGTCTGGAATGGGCTGCCAGAGATAGTGGTGGAGGCAAGTACAATTTTGTCACTTAAGAAACAATTGGACAGGTACATGGATAGGATAGGTATGGAGGGATATGGACCAAATGAAAGCAAATGGGATTAGATTAATTATGAACACGGGGCAGCATGGGGATGTTGGGCTGAAGGGCCTGTTTCCATGCTGTAGACCTCTATGACTGTCCGTGAGAGTTTGCACACATTCTCCACATGTCTGTGTGTTTCTCCTCCAGGAGCTCTGGTTTCCTCCCACAGTTCCACATGTGCAGTTTAGATGGACTGGCCGTGCTAAATTGACCATAGTGTCCAGGAATACATAGGTTAGGTGAATTAGCCATGGGAAATGCAGGATTACAGGGATAGAGTAGCGGGGTGGGTCTGGGTGGGATGCTTTTCAGAGGGTCAGTGTGGACTCGATGGGCTGAGTGGCCTGCTTCTACATTGTAGGGATTCTATGATTCTATAATTCCAGCTCCCCTCTCAGCAGCATCGTAAGAGCAATCAGCTTGAATTGCAAATCACTGCTGACATTGCTTTACAAGGCAGCCAATTGGAGTCACCCCAAAGTCAGACAGCTGAGTGAAACACATACTCCAGAGAGAGGGTGGGGGGGTTCTCTGCACTTATTGTAGGTCAACTCCATTACAAACCAGATCACTGACAATGCAAACATATGACCATAACAATCCTTAATATTAAAATCTTTGGAGAAAAGAAACATTGGATGTCACTAGGCACCTGAAAGATTGAAGGCGTGTTGGTGTTTCCAAGGAGGACTTGTCCTCTTTCTGACAGGTTGTCTGCACTTCTGACTTGTATCAGCTCCTCCTAACCTCCATCAACACTCTGTTTTGGTCACTTTGCCGTTCTGGTCATGGCAACGTTCTCCAACCAAGCCATTAACTTAGCATTTGGGATAAAGACTCTGTACCTGAACTAGGGCTCAATCTCAGTGCAGCCCAATATGGCTACAAATCCAATGGCAAAGTAATCTGCTAGCCCCATTAGTTGAACAGCCAGTCACGTTTGCTGATCTTGAGGGGCTGACAAATCCTGTAAGTGTTCAGGAGAGGCTGGTCATTTTGGGGACAGAGGGGGAAAACAAGAGGGTGAAGTGATTGGTGGTGGTCCATGCATTTTCAACCTCCCTGGTAGGAACAGAAGCAAATCCTGAACAGAGCATTGAGTAGATAATCTCGCGATATCTGTCCATGGATAGATAGTGGCAAGCACATTGCCTATTATTACTAAACAGTTTTGGGTAAAGAAATTTACAACGAAGAGTGGAGTAAATTGATGAAGTATCAGCAACCAAGATATCAATTTCAGTTTCAGGGACTTGCTGAATATTCTCTCATTTATGATTCCTAACATCCACTTTTCTCATCAGACCTCGACATTAGAATGATTAAGAAATGGTGCTCAATATCATTCTTGAGTTGCTTTAAGAATGCCTTACAGTGTTTGGATCCTCCAAGGGGACTTCCATCTCAGACTGCTTCATGTAGACATTTCCTCTGCAAGCTCTCCAGAGCAAACGCTCAAAGGCTGCCATCCGCTCCCTCCGGATCACGCCAGTTATAAACCTGAAATAATCAGTCACCAAAAACAACAAAAAAATGACGTACAAGCATCTGAGTGTCATTAAACTACAGTGTAGGGTCACAGAAATTGGGGAAGGCAGTAGTGTGGTGGCAATACCACTGGACAGTTAATCCTGAGAGCCAGGCTGATGTCTGGGGGACTCAAGTTCAAGTCCCACCCTCTATCTGGTGGATAAAATAATAAAGAATATTTATAAAATATGCCATTGACTACCTGGTGACTTATGGAATTGCCTGGAAAGCGCAATTTTGTTTGGGCAACAAATACTGAACTTTCTAACGATGCCCATATCCCATGAAACAATAAAGAAAGAAAACAACATATTAACTGTAGTCCTGCTCAGTTACTCAAGGGAGAAGAGTATCGAGATAGGTAGGACAGGATTTTTGCCCCGATATAAAGACAATAGCTGGAGTGGGTGTGTATGTAATTTTGTGTAGCTAGTGGGCATGTTTGTTTGTCAGCACCATCGCACTCCTGGACTATTTTGTCACAGATGGGAAATGGGGTGTAATGGCTACCCACTCACAAGCAGCAGATGGCTTACGAAAATTTAAAACCAATTCTCAGAGAGTGAGCGGACTTTCTCAGCCAGTTTCTGGGCTCCCCAAAGCATTGGGCAGGATAGATACCGGTGGTGGGCTGTACAGACAAAGACCCAGGTTGTCTTGGAGGCTCACAATGGGGATCCAATAGCTGTGGGCATTTGTTTCAATGTTATTGTTGGGCACCCTCTCTCTCAAAAATACATACATACAAAATAGGAATAGGAGACGACCATTCGGCCCCCTAGCTGCTCTGCCATTCAATCAGATCATTGCTGATTTGGGGGTTCCAAATTCCCAATGACACCCGAAAACCTTGGATTCCCTTTGCTGAACACAAATCTATTTCTGCCTTTGAAGTAGTCGATGACCCCACCTCCACTGCCTGCTGAGGGAAGAGTGTTCCAAAGTTGCACAACCCTCTGAAAAATATTCTTCTCACCTCTGACCTAAAAGGGCACTTCCTAATTTTAAACCAGTGTCTACTAACTCTGGACTCACCCACAAGAGGAAACATCCTTCACACATCTGCCTTTGTGAAGGCCATTCAGCATCTTACACACTGCAACCAAGTCAGTCTGCACTCTAAAGCCCAGTGGAAACAAGTCCAGCCTGTCCAAAACTATCCTTGTAAACCAATCCTTTCATTCTAGATAATCCCCTCTGATCTGCTTCTGATGCTTGCTTACAGCAGTAGGCTGTAGCTCTGACGTCTGTTTGATCTTCAGCTTCCAAATTCCGCCGAACATCATGAACTGGGTGACAAGAGCATGAAATCTAGCCACCAATTGGCCAGTTCATGGACCAGAAGACCGCTCCTGATGTGACAGCTTGGCACCTGCATATGATCCTCATATTAGGATCCTGACACAATGGCACGGCGTATGTTCTGATATAACACTTTCTTTTCTAACTGCTCTTAATTCCCCAGATAGGCAGCCTGGGAAGATGGTCAGGAGTGGAGACAAAAATTTTTTAAAAATCAGGCAGTCAGAAAAGAATAATGCTTTCTTGTTCTCAGATATATCAGAGTGGTATACGGCTCTGTACTTCAAAATGTGATAGTTACAGGACATGCTGAGCCCAATTTGTGCACTGCAAACGCCACAGCGTGTAACAATGACCAGGTAACAAACATGCAGAAACTCTAAAGACTGTATCTTTTTATTGTTCTGCATTTTTGATTGCGGACCGAAATTGGAAAAGGTATGAAAAGCCAAGGACATTTGCACTTTTCAAAAACAAGTGACCTTACGCTCATTGTAAAGTGCTGTTTCCACAGCTGCTGGTTCAAGCACTGGGGGGAAAATCAAGTTACAGCAGAGCTGGAACCAGGGGAATTGTGTACGAATGGAGACCTGGCTAGCAACAAGTTGATAATGGATAAGTGGATATTGTTTCACAAACCAATGGAATAAAATCCTCCTGCCTGCTAATAGGTATGGCTGGCTCCCAGGTAGCTGAACAGCTTGGTAAAGTACATGGGGGTGGTGTAAATATTTGAGTCAGAAGCCATTAGACCTATGGAAGGAAAGGAACTATTGCTGCTAAGCAATAGAAAACATCACAGGCCTGAAGAAAGCCAATTTATTTTCCCTCACCAGTTGCTGTAAGCTGTGACTTTTAACTAATAAGACAGAGACTTCTATAAGCGTGAACCAGTTATCCTGCGCCTGCTGCGAACAAGTTAAACTATCTGGAGAAGGAATATTGAATTGCCTTCCCAATCTGCCTGCCTGCCTGCCCATAACACCCATGCAATTTTGTGTCTGTGTATACCTGTATGTAGTGAGTTTATAAGTGAGTTAGAACTCTCGAGTGGCATTATGTCAACTGTTCATTGTGATTTCTACAGTTATGATATATTAATTTGTAATGAATGGCAATATTTGTTCAGCATAGAAACCTGGTCCGTGCCTTGTGTCAACCTGGGGACTAAATTGAGTAATTCTGCATTCTTTAAAACAATCTTCTACGGTACTGACAACTCCAGGAAAAACAGGGCTCCATTCCCAACACATTACCCTAATGAGATGTAACAGTGCTGAGCAGCACAATCACATTGTAATGTCCTTCAACTTAGTGTTACTTCAAAGTACACCTACATGTCCGTAGTCTTTAAAAGGAACGCACAACACTATTAACTAAATGGACCTTAATAAAATCCTTGGTTACATTTTTTAATACCGATGTCAAATAATTGCTTTCAACAAAACTTTTCATTGAAAACCAACATGGTTGACTTGTGCACAATTTTATGAGTATCATGTGTTGAACCTGAAGCTTTTATGGCCAGTGAGGAGACAGTTATCCCAACAGTCTGGTTGCATTCAAAACACAAATCCCACAGTTGTAAAGAACAATCCTGTTTTAAACCTACGGCTCTCGGATCTCACAGGAACAAATGCAACAAACAGAAACTGAAGCTGTTGAGAATGGTTGGGGCTTTCCTCTGTGCTGAGGTCAGGTGGTGTGAGGGATGTCGCGGGGTTTGGGAGGGGAATGAATGGTGATGGTGAAAGCAAGTCTCAAAAAGGGACTTCCAAATGTAATTTGCAGAGAAGCAGGTCACCCCATCTCCTCCATGCCACTTCGAAGCAAATATCAAAAGTGGAAAAAAAGAGGCCAATTTTCATTGACAGCAACACTGGTTAGGTTTCCGATTGAGATAAACACAAACCATACTCAATTTTTCTGGATGCTATGCCTGGTGAAATTTTTGTTCAGACACTATAGAGAACGACAACAAATTTTGTTGAGGTTATACTATTAATTTTAAATATCATTGCACTTATTATGGTCAATTGGCTAGAAAACAGAAATGAAAACCTACTAGCCAAGCCTCAGGAGATTGACACTGATAATGTTCCTGCTGTTGAACAAGGAGTGCATGCCCTCTGCCTGTAGGGGGCTCTCCTCACTCAGCGAAGAACAGCTTAGGTTCAGGATGACCATGCCAAGGCTCCTAGGCCGCTAAATTTGTGCTGGGCGATGGACCTATTTTAATCAACTGCTGTGTCGGTGAGTCTTTGTTATTCCGAATGATGTTATAATGGGCAGGTTCTCTGGAGTTAGGTCGCTCCACATCAGGTGAATGAAAAAGGCTGATCTGTCAATCCTTAGCAAGCCCTTGTTCTATGGTCCTGTTTGGTAGAGACGTTAGAGCAGAGGCAGGAAGCCAAAGGGTAAATAAATTACAGGAAGCCAACCTGCGCCTAGAATTGGCAACCTGCCAAGTTTAGCCTGGAGTCTCCAGAAATTAAAGATTAATTCCTCTTACACTGCCACTAGAAGGGCAGGAAACATTCATATTCCTTTCAGCCTCCCCACCCCTTTCTCTCACATGGAAGCACACAGGCAAAGTGTGCTCTTATGTCCATTTCCATAGTTAATTTTTCCTTAAGTCAGTTGCTAGCATGTCAGCAGAAGGTTAACAGGGGCATGAACTTTTTTTTACTTAGCTGTGAAAGTACTGAATGGGATAAAGGGCTGCTTAATTGAATAATTCTTGCCTGCCAATCGGGTAAGAAACAGCACTTTCAATTCAAGTGGTAGGTTGAGTAGTGCCAGGCAACCAATGGCAGAAGTATGAAGGTTGGCATTTGGCAGCGGGGACAATTCAGAGGTGGCAACTGTGCCAGAACTCTGCATGTTGGCATCTATATGCCAGACTTCGGCACTACATGAACACTAGGTGCCCCAGTGCTCACTCGGAGGTTCAGCAGTTTCAACTCTTACCAACCTACGTTGCATGTTTAATTAAGAAGATAGATCCCTATGAAGAGATTCTGTGTGTCCTTCATGCTTAGGAGTTTCACATTAATTTAGTCTGAAGAGCTGAGCATTGCGTTGCGCTTCCCCACGCACAATGACAAACAGGATATATTTTCAATGTGGTAATTAAAGAACTTCCAATATTGTGTTACCCAATTATAAAGGCCAAGATACCTGTAACCAATTGAAACGTGCCGAGTGACCAAAAGTTGTCTGCATGTCCTGTAACTGTGCCATGTCATTGCCGCACTTCACTTACCCTAGCCTGCCAGGGGCAATCACCCCAGATGCTGTCTGCAGTTCCAATAGGTGCATTGTATCTTCACTGAAGAAATCATCTGTCAAATTCGCTTCAGTCTGTAAAGAAGAAATTCCGTTCTTTTACAATCAGATGCAGTCTTGAAACAATGCTTAAGATGGTGAGTATGGTTTTCTGCTGAGCCAGTAAGACTGTCTGATTGATGCAAGGCAAATCTCTAATACGTTTCTCTGTGGCATTGGTGAATGCCAGGACATCCCACCTCAGACTGGGAGGCTAGTGGAAATTTCCGTCCAGTTATGTCTTTGGGAACCATTTCTTTTTGTGCCATTGCAAACCCTCTTAGCAACGTAACAGTAACATGAATGGTTACATGCCTAGTGGCCTTATCGCTAGACTATTAATCCAGAGATCCAGGTACTTTTTCTGGGAACTCAGGTTCAAATCCTATGGCAGATGGTGAAATTTGAATGAAACAAAAATCTGGTATTAATGACAGCCAAGAAACCTCTTATTTGTCAGGAATTCCCGCCTGTTTCATTAATGCCCTTTCCAGAAGGAATCTGCCATCTTTACCTGGCCTGGTACATATGACTTCAGACCCACAGAAATGCAATTGACTATTAACTGTCCCCTGGGCAATTAGGGATGAGTAACAAATTATAGCCTGGACAGCAATGCCCTCATCCCAGGAATAATCTTTTTTTCTAAAAAAAAAAAGAAATTCATAGTTCCTCCAGTGTCTTTGGGTCAACAACCCTGGGACATCCTTCCTAACAATACCAGTGTATCGACACACTGTTGGCATTTATTTTGAGGACCTGAATATAAAAGCAGGGATGTACTACTGAGGCTTTATAAGGCCCTGGTCAGCCACATTTGGAGTATTGTGTGCAGTTGTGGGCCCCATATCTCAGGAAGGATGTACTGGCCCTGGATCAGGTTCACGAGAATGGTCCCAGGAACGTAAAGCTTAACACATGAGGAACGTTTGAAGACTCTGGGACTATGCTCATTGGAGTTTAGAAGGATGAAGGGGGGGGATCTAATTGAAACTTACAGGATACTGAATGGCCTGGACAGAGTGGGTGTTGGGAAGATGTTTTCATTTGTAGGGGAGACTAGGACTCGAGGGCACAGCCTTAGAGTAAAGGGAAGACCTTTGAGAATAGAGATAAGGAGAAACTTCTTCAGCCAGAGAGAGAGTGGTGAATCTATGGAATTCACTGCCACAGAAGGCTGTGGAGGCCGGGTCATTGAGTACATTTAAGACTGAGATAGATAGGTTCTTGATTATCAAGGGGATCAAGGGTTACGGGGAGAAAGTGTGAGAATGGGGTTGAGGAACTTATCAGCCATGACTGAATGGCGGAGCAGACTCGATGGGCTGAATGGCCTAATTTCTGCTCCTATGTCTTATGGTCTTATGGTCTTATGATCCCAGAAAGGTGACTCACCAACACCACCTACAGGGCAACTAGGAATAGGTTAAAAAAAAATCAGACTTGCCAACAATGGACACACTGCATAGACTTGGGATCTGCTTTCAATTCTTGAGGTGGGAACAACTTCGGATTTGTCAGTGAGCCGGTATTGGAAGTGGTAGATCTTTTAACAAGGGTTTTTATGTGTTTTCTTTTTCTACCCTGTCTATTTAATTGCTTCAGACTCGGTTAAAAATTCCTCCAAGCACGAGATGTGACGATATCATAAACTCTCACAGTTACAATCCAAAATTCCAATACTCTTTGCACTTCAGGGCACAGTTTTTGTTTAAGGTTACCTCAAAGAAGTCCTGTGTTTTTTTCAGCAAGTGTTTGAGTTCAGTGAGCTCCAGAAAGTTCTGTTTCAAAGTCTGTTGGTTCTGATTCACTTCCCTCAAATCATTCTCGAGTTTTTCCAGAGCCACCTGGGAAAGGCAAAACAACATACTAAATAAAAAGTGCAACTTTGAGTTAACTCTTACTGAGCAATCCATCAGCCAGTACAACAAAGCACTGGGACAGTAATGGAGACCAAACAAAAATCTTGTAGGAAATAAAAACCGAAAGAACTGCGGATGCTGTAAATCAGGAACAAAAACCAAGTTGCTGGAAAATCTCAGCAGGTCTGGCAGCAGCTGTGAAGGAAAAAAACGGAGTTAACGTTTCGGGTCCGGTGACCCTTCCTCAGAACAAAAATCTTGTAGGCATAGCATCACAGATATTGCAATGCAATAAGTCTCTTGTTGGAGCTATTGCTTTGGCCCTTGTCGCTAGATCCTTTAATATTATTAACAGGTAACAATGTCATTAACATTCATTTTCTGTAAGAAAATATTGGGAGAAGAGATGGTAAGATGGAGTTCCTTTTGTATCCTTGCTGTAAGACATAGACAACATGAAGAAAGTGGACAAAGGGGGAAAAATGATGTGGAAATTGGTTAATCAGCAAAAGCTTAAAGACATTGGGGAACAATGGAGGCTAAAGGAACATTGAGGCGGACAAAGTTTCGAAGGCAAATGATTTTATTAAATTTTGCAAGGGTGTTGCCCGAGCCAAGTGATAAGAAACCAATATTGGACATGGAGTGTGGCAAAATCCGAAGCAGCACAGCAAGGGAGCAATATTAAAGAAGCTATGGTCCTGGAGACACTGGAAAAGAAGAGATATGCTGTTGAAGCTTTACTTGTGTCATGAATCAGGACAAACACAAGAATATACAATTTCAAAGGGAACAACATTTATTCTGCACAAGAAGAAAGTGTGTTTGGATAGGTCAACTCAGATCGAAGCATTACCACGAAGTATGCACCGAGGAGTTTTTGATCACCACCATTTGTTTAGTTTTTTTTTTGAAGCAAAAGATTGGAGGACCAATGGTTCCCTGGTGAAGTCTCCATGGCAACAGCTTGACCAGAGTCAACTTGCCAACCAACCAGCATTCTCTTCTCATACAAGATAAATTGACGCTTACTTTGGTAATCTTGCATCGGTCCTGATGATTACAAGGCAGCAAGCTTCAACAGCATGTCTTTCTTCTCCAAGCCTCAGGTTAAATACCACCAAGTGACAATTTGTAATGGAAATATTTCAAATCAAGAAATATGGAAAACTAGGTTATCCAAGGGATTACGTTAACAACCAATTCTAGGCGCTATCAAATGTTGCAAAAGGTACAAAGTTACAGAAGTGAAGAATCCAGGCTGGACAGAGACAGATTGAAGATCACAAGCGAGACTATAAACATTGATGACTCCTTCCTTAGGAAAGCAGGTGCATCATAAAAACACGGTTTCTTGACAGCACATCAATGACAACACATCCAGCAACGTTTAATTCACTATAGAGTAATTTGAAATGCTCTGGAGGCCATTTAAAAATTGGTATAGCTACCTGCATGGAGCTACAGCAGTAAAAACTGACATAAGGGTCAAAAGAGATGTCAATATTACAAGTTATAATTTAATGTTAAAGACACAAGTAGAGAGAAGCCTTGGATGATCCCAGGATACTCCAAAGCCCAGAAAATACTTTCTTGAAGTACAGTCAATGTTATAGTATAGGAAGCAAATATCCAAAACAGTTGCCACCAATAGTAATGTAATAACAACAAATGATCTGTTTTAGTTGTGATGATGTTGTCCCTTTAAAAGATTATTTTATCCTGGTCTTTTTTTGAAAAGAGTTTGTAAGGTAAAGGCAATGAGCTGGTTACTGAGGACTACTTCTGTAAACAGCTTGGGAGACCTTGTGCTTTTTAATAAAAAAACAGCCTGAATGGGTGTGGCCAGCTCTGGCACGTCAGGATTTCCGAGTAACATCAGAAACTATTGGGGTCTAAAGTGTTGGAAGCTTCAGTGAATTTCTCCTAGCTACTGGTGTGTCTCAATTTTCTCTAGTTTTTTTTTTCCTCCTGGATTGGACAACTGCATGTGAGAATCTGTTCCAAATTTGCCTTTTTTGCCAAGTTTATGGGATGTTACTATATTGGAACAGTTAATTAGCAATAGTTACTGTATCTATTATTCTGGCAAGTTTCCAATAGAGTTAAGTTATTCTAAATTCCTCTTTCTTTGGTTGTATTTTAACTACAGTATTTAAATAAATTGTGTTTTGCTTAACGTCAATTAGTTAGACCAGTCACATTATGTTTGGAACAGACACTTTACACTTGCCTTTAAAATAAGAAGAAAATTAGGGTCTAGGCTACCTTCTTAAAATAGTTTTGAGGGGGTCTGATCTGGCCCGTAACAAAGTGGTGTTGGTGGAAGGATAATTGACAAGAACACCAAGGAGAATTTCCCAACTCTTTAAGAGGGTATCATGGAATCTCTTACGTGCAACTATAACATTAGAGAGGCCCTCAATTTTCTGTTTCATTGGACTTGTTCACCACAAAAGATAAATAACCACAAAAACAAATATAGAGGCCTTAAAAGCCATAAATGAGAATTGGCTCACAATTCAAAAAACAGCAGGCTCGGGAACTGCTTTGCAGAACACCTACGCTCGGTTCGCAATAAACAACTGCACCTCCCAGTGGCGAACCATTTCAACTCCCCCTCCCATTCCTCAGATGACATGTCCATCCTGGGCCTCCTGCAGTGCCACAACGATGCCACCCGAAGGTTGCAGGAACAGCAACTCATATTCCGCTTGGGAACCCTGCAGCCCAATGGTATCAATGTGGATTTCACAAGCTTCAAAATCTCCCCTCCCCCTACCGCATCCCAAAACCAGTCCAGCTCGTCCCCGCCTCCCTAACCTGTTCTTCCTCCCACCTATCCCCTCCTCCCACCTCAAGCCGCACCCCCATCTCCTACCTACTAACCTCATCCCGCCCCCTTGACCTGTCCGTCCTCCCTGGACTGACCTATCCCCTCCCTAACTCACCACTTACACTCACCTTTACTGGCTCCATCCCTGCCTCTTCGGCCTGTCTGTTTCCTCTCCACCTATCCTCTCCTCTATCCATCTTCTATCCGCCTCCCCCTCTCCCTATTTATTTCAGAACCCCCTTCCCCTCCCCCATTTCTGATGAACGGTCTAGGCCCAAAATGCCAGCCTTTCTGCTCCTATGATGCTGCTTAGCCTGCTGTGTTCATCCAGCTCTGCACCTTGTTGTCTCAGATGCACAATGTTCTCAAACATATTCCCAGTATTTGAAGGAGGGAATTTTGCCAAAAGAAATCAAAGATTAAATGTTTTTCTTGTACCTGCCTATATACTCAATGGTATCTCAAACAATTGGGAATGATTCCAGAATAGAATTGGTGCAGCAGAAATAAGTTATATTTAAACAAAGTAAGCTAGAAGAGTCTTGGGAAAAGTATTGAGGCAGGAGGAGGAAACCATTTGAACTGAACAGATTGGGGGAAGGATGATCAAGTACAGAATCCCTAGCAAGACAGATCATAAGGGAGAACAGAGTCAAGAGAGGTAGAAACAAATATCTTTGAGATACACATGAATCAGAGACTAAGAGGAGACTTGGGGGAATAATGCAATAAACAAAGAAAGATGTTGAACCGCATAACCGAAACACAAGTCAAACAAAGGAAGGTTCAAGCACCAGAGCTTGCTTCTCAATATGGAGTCTATTTCTAGTCATTAGGAACCAAAGGACATACACTAGTGTTATAGGCACTTCATGAAAAAGACAGAAAGCTGATTCTCTGCTACAAGTTTAAATGTTGAGAAAAGATCAGATATATTTGGGATTGTCACTCAGGGAAACAGAATCAAGAGGTTATCTTGCTGTCATTTTTAGGGTAACTAAGGATATAAAAGCTAACTTGGAACCATAAACCTAAGAGTATAAACTGGGGATTGCAATTTTACAATCAATTACATCATTTCGTATTAGGATTGATCAATTTGTAGAATAAAGTTAAATATATAGTGTAGCAAAAACATTGTTTCTTAAGTGGAACCAATTAGAAACAATAATGGAGAGAATGTTAGGACTTATTTGGATGGGTGAATGAATAAGCTGTTCAATGGTCAATGAGGAATAATAAGTACTGCATAAGTCAAGTATTGTGCAACTATTTGTTACATGTTTTCCACTTGTGAAATGATTACATTTGTAAAAATAAATGAACAACAGTAATCCTCAATGATATGGATAGAACACGAGCAGTAATCTGAATAATTTTCTAATAGCAGTCATCTGAATATGTGATGAAAGATCATTCATCGTCTTATGAATGTACCTCTATGACGGCATGCATAAGGTTGCCAAGTTTCCATTCATAGGGCTAAAGGTCAGCTTATAAACCTGCCCCTTTCATGTGAACATGGGTTAATGTCAGATAAGGAGTTTAAACTGTAACAGACAGGCCTTTACCCAAACATTAACCCACTTTGTTTCTGTTTCCAATGGACCTGCTGTAACCTCCTGAGGTAGTGTGCCCTTGTGTACAATGAACATGGCATTGTGATGCACACAGCAAATGCAAACTGAAATAAAAGGTTCCTAAAATAAAAAGTCTACCCACAAGACCTTCATTTGAGTGAAGTTTTAGACTAGTCCCCTGCGAGAACTGAATTTGAGTAAAACTCCATCTAACAATGTTCCTTTTATGCAGCAGTCTTATTAAATATGAATGCACAGAAATGCCAGACAAGAGAAAATTTACTCTAAAACAAAGAGCTGCAGATGCTGGAGACCTGAAACAGGCAAAGGCAGAAATTGCTAGAGAAACTCAGAGGTCTGGTAGCATGTGTGGAGAGAAAGCAGAATTAACGTTTCAAGTCCAGTTCTGAAAAAGGGACACTGGACTCAATACATTCATCTTTTCTCTCCACGGATGTTGCCAAACATGCCAAGTTTTTCCAGCAATTTCTGTTTATGCATATTGTAAAATCTGTCTGTCTTGACATGCATATGATAAAAATCCAAGTCAATAGAGGGTGGAAACTGGAAAATTCCTTAGTAGGTTAAAAATAAACCAGAACGAGATCATTTTGTAAATGAAGAGCCACAAGACTTACAATATCAGCACATCATCATTTGTGGCAAGGATTCAAATCAGAAGATCGTAGCAGGCTCATCATCAAGGATGCTGAAGAATGGAGCTCGACTGCCGCACAGTGAGACCATACAGGCCACAGACTGCGCCCACATTTCTGTGAACCTTCCGCAACCTATGACAGCTACTCAGCACCATTCTGGGACAATCTGCCACCATATCGTATTCTCTACAATAAAGTATTCAGAGTCAGTACCTAGAACGCAAGTTGTTACAAACCCAATTTGTTTTACATAGAACCCTTCCAGCCAGCTAAGGAGAGATTTGATTTCACATTTGGATCCAGAAGTGGCTGCATTCCATAGCATGCAATGATAGTTTGGACTGTACAATATTTCCCTCCTTACCTCCAGGTCAATCATATCTTTTGGAAGAGGAGCCTGGGGATCCTCTCCATCATCTTGGACAACAATCTGATCCTTTTCCATTTCAGTCTCCAAAAATCCTACAAATTCAAGTTAACAATAAAAAGTCAATTGGTGACTAACGCTCTGCTTTCACAATCAAGGACTCTGCACTGAATCCACATCCAAACACTATCATAAAGGAGAAGCTTTAAGAAAAATATATAAACTACAGCAAATTCTAGAATCTTAAACGCACTGCTCCAGGGCAGATTCAGTTGTGGCTCGCAAAAGGGAATTGGACAAGTACATGAAGAGGAAAGAAATTGCAAAGCAATGAGGAAAGGGTGGAATGGGAAACTAATTTGCTCTGGTACAGAGCTGGAAGGCTGAATGGCCTCGTTCCATTGTATAACTATTCTGATTCTCATTACTAAAAGATTAATTTCTTTTGTTATCAATTTTAACTAGCTTCTCCACTCAGCCAAGGATTAAAGTATTTCTTTCTTACTTTAAGAAACCTGATTGTTAATTTATTTTTATGTCTCCCATTTCAATCTGTTCACTGTTTATTTCCCATAAGCTTCTTGCAGTTAATCATACTGCAACAGCTTATTTTGAATTAAGAGTCGTCTTACGTTCATGTCAAGTGTCAAAACTTCACAAAATATTTCTCCCAATGTGTTTTGAAGTGTAATGATGCTTGACAAATGTAGCAGTTATTTGAGAGCTGCACACTGTCAGCAAGGAGATAGATCCACTCAGTGACTCTGGCTTCAAAGATAAAACAGCGAGAACAAACGATTCAGCTCACCCTGGTTTATGCTATGTCAGTGCTATCCAGGAACAGCGTCTATGTTTCATGTTAAACTATTTGAATACCCACTTTCTCCCTCATGTGCTTCTTTCACCTCTCCTTAGAAAGGTATCTTTGCTGTTCAGCTCAACTACACCGTGCAGTGCAAGCTCCATATTATAATCACCTTCTGGGCAAATAAGAACTTAAATTCCTTATTGTGTTTATTGGCGAATAACTTACAATTATAAGCGCTGACCTTGGACTTCCCTCAAGTGTAACATTCCATTCCTTCACATCATCATAGAATCCCTACAGTGTGGAAACAGGTCCTTCGGCCCAACACGTCCATACCAACCCAGAGCATCTCACCCAGACCCATCCCCCTATAACCCACCTAATCTACACATCCCTGAACACTACGGGTAATTTAACATGGCCAATCCTCCTAGCCTGCACATCTTTGGACTGTGGGAGGAAACCGGAGCACCCGGAGGAAACCCACACAGACACGGGGAGAATGTGCAAACTCCACACCGACAGTCTCCGGAGGGTGGAATTGAAACCAGGTGTCCCTGGCACTGAGAGGCAGCAGTGCTAACCACTGAGACACCGTGCCACCTAAGTTCATGTGTAATTTTAAACACCCCCATTATCTCACACTTTAAGGAGTCCCAGCCTGTTCCACAGTTTGGAACTCTCCATTTTGGCATCATCCTTGCAAATCAAATTTTGACTTTCTCCAGTGCCTCTGATTCTGTATTATGTAGGAATACTGTACTTGGTTTTCCAAGTATGGGTTAACCAAGATTTTATAACCTCTCTGCTTGTCAGTTTTGCTCTTCTAGAATGAAGTGCTTTGTTTGCATGTTGTTTTATTGCCTCAGTAACTTGCACTGCCTTTAATAAACTGTACCACTATACTTCCAGGCTTGATATTAATTTACCATTTCTTATTCGTATCATCTTGTATTTTGACACTCTTTATTAAAATAAATCACCAAAAATTGATGGCATTACCAAATTTCAAAGTGCGATTGTGATTTCAGAGACTAGGTTTCTTACTCAAGTGGTGTATAATGATGGTGACAGAACCAACTCCTGTGTCACTTTCATCCAGTATTAACCCTGAAACAGTTCTCGATTTTTGTAACCATCATTCGATTTTGTTACTTATTCCCTGACTCCACGTGATTTGCCCTTCGACACGAGTGTACTAAACTGAACCTTACTGAAGGCCCGTTGAAAGTCCACATATATTGTATTAAAAACTTACTGTATTACTCATCTACTGTTTGTTACTTCCACAAAAAACTGTAAGGCTCATCAAGATTGATTTTCCTTTTTGAAGCCAGAGTTGTCAACTCCATAAAATCATGGATGTATTTCTGGATGTATTTCTATTCTATCTTAGTAGAGAAATCAGATTTCCTTCCACTGAGATTAAGCTGGTTGACCTGTGATTCTTTGTATCTCTTGCATTTTCCCTTCAAGATAGAATAATAAAGTTATGGAGAAAAGGCACACACTTGGAGACCTCACTGCTCTTTCTTCAAATGAGATCAGGTTTAAGACTTCATTGGAGGGACAGTACTTCATGATAGTTGATTTGTTATTGTCACATGTACTAAGTTACAGTGAAAAGTATTGTTTTGTGTGCTATTTGGACAAAATCATACCATACATAAATACATCAGGGTAATAGAACACAATGCAGAATATAATATTACAGCAACAGAGAAGGTGCAGATAAAGATCAACTCTAAAATGAGAGATCTATCATAAGTTTGATAGCAGCATGAAAGAAGCTGAGCTTGAATCTTTTGGGATATGTTTTCAAACTTTTGCATAATGGAAGAGGGTGGAAAAGCGTATAACCTGTAAGGGAGGGATCTTTGATCGTGTTGACGGCTTTCCCAAGGCAGCAGAAAGTGTACAGAGAGTCAATGGAAGGAAGGCTGGTTTGCATGATGGACTGGGCTGTGTTCATAACTCACTTATTTCTCACAGTCTTGGGAAGAGCAGTTGCCATACCAAGCTGTGATGCCTCCAGAAAGATTGCTTTCTATGATGCATCTATAAATATTGGCAAGAGTGATTGTGGACCTGCGGAATTTCCTTAGCATTCTAAGGAAATAGAGGCAATAGTGTGCTTTCTTGACTGTAGCATAAACATGGGTAGACCAGGACACACAGAACTCTAGTAACTCAGGGTAAACCAATCAGACACGGTGCTTTTGTGCCCTTGGGTAAGAGTCAGTGGAATTTAGTCCTAGTGACAATTGTCTCAGTGCAAGACCCACGTGGCTCCATTTTAGGGGAGGGTCTTACAGAAACCAGCCTTACTCAGGACTAAGTAATCGGAACCCCTTCTCCCGCCCAAAGCCAATAGAGGTTTTCAACTCTCTGCAGCTGATAGCGTCATTGGAAGCAATGGTTGCCGCTAGTCAAGCTCCTAGGGAGAGGCTTAGAGTTACCAAGGGACCAATACCACACGTAAAGAAATAGGAGGATATCACAGGATTGGGGGTGGGAGCTCCCAACTGGTCAAACCCCTCCCCTTTTCCGATTCCCTCAAATCAGGCACTAAAATAGCTTGCTTGTTAGTCTCCCTGCCTGGTCAAACACCAGTGCAACGAGGCCCTCAAGTGGACAGGAGTTAACCAATCATGTGTAACCTCCCTTGGGAGGAAGCATCAAATTCTGCCATCAACTCCCAACTTTGACTCAAAGTGAATGAGATAAATGAAGCCAAATCATCTCAGATGCTAAAATCTATGCAAATACCTTTCGCTGATCTCAGTGGCATTTGCAACTTGACAACATGGAATCCAATGTAACTTTGCTCTCAGTACCATGAATTATCCCTTTATTCAGCTGGTATGAACAATTCTCAGATATAACAAAGTGTGGAGCTGGAGGAACACAGCAGGCCAGGCAGCATCAGAGGAGCAGGAGAGCTGACGTTTCGGGTCGGGACCCTTCTTCAGAAGATTTTCTCCAGCTCCACACTTTGTTATCTCTGACTCCAGCATCTGCAGTTCTTGTGATCTCATGAACAATTCTCAATTGCTTTTGGTGAGACTGGAAGAGGAACTGCACAGCAGCAGATCAATAGATTTGGTATCAAACTTGTAAAAATGATTGCAAGCTTTACTCATCTGACAGTGTACATTGGCAACAATGCTCAAAGAGCAAAATAAATTTAAAATACACTCCATAAAATCCAATCGATTTTACAGAACAGAAAAATGCTATTGGACAAATAGCCTATAATGTTCCATGCCGAGGTCAGCAAAGATGTTGAATATGATTAGGATGTTGAATGAGGGCAGAAAGAGAATAAAATTTAAAACATCAGCCTGAAAAATCTTTAATATATAGGATTGGATTTATCCCTATTTCTGATTAAATATCTGCTTGAGTTATTGCTTTCATCAGGAATGTAGGATTTAGGAGGATCTTTATAGATTCAACCATGTTAACTTTTTAAAAAGAAAATATCTTGATTATTTTCAGCAAAGTACTTTTGCACACTTACGAAGAATTCTCTCCATCACTTCGCAGCGTCGGATTTCATTCACAAATTTCCGCTGGAATGAGTTGACACTTGCATTCAGCTGTAAAAGAGACAGACAATATAGTATTGTTCCCCACCACTGCTGGTTCTAAAATGTAGAAACTTCTCAATTTCACCACTCTGGTGTTTCTATGCTCATGCAACAAGTATTCCAAATCAAGATCAATTCTAACTTGTGAAGTGATAGAGTGGCAACAAACATCTGAAGACATGGACATTAAAAACAAAGTTCTCACTAAGTGTGGAAATAAAATGATATAAATATATGTTTATTTATTATATAGACACATTTTATTTTATAATGTATATTTATGTAATCATATAAACACATGCACACACACTAATTAGATAGGGAACTCCATTAAAGGTTCATTTGGTTATGTAGATAAGGAAGATCCCAGATTCAACTAATAATTCTTGATCTTAGCTAGAATAATCTCTTTCAAACTGAAGACCAGACCAGGATGCAAGGGTATTTGGGGAAGTCGAGTGATGCATGTAGTAAAATGGATAACATTTCAGCTTGTCATCACAATATGGAAAGAACCTTTACGTGGGAATACTGGCTGGGCAAACAGTCCCTCCCTCCCTCTCTCTCTTACACCCACACCCACACACACACACTCTTTCACACCATCACACACATTCTCTCTCACACCATCACACACGCACCCTCACACCATCTCACACAGGACCCACAACTGCAGCTTGCTTTACACATTCTCAAACCTCACAGCTTAAAAGAAAAAGCAGATGTAAAGCTTTGGAAGATGTTGGAGAGAACTTAACTTTATCCTGCGAGAGTCAAAGCCCATGGGAGGAAAGGCAAAAATGTTCAGGGTAATTAAGCCAATCGAATGATAAAAGGATTCTTGTCCCACAAATTGCACTCCATGTTGTGGTCATGAGGCAAAACAACAACATCATGGTCAAAAAGTGAACATCCCAGCAAGGCCCATTTTCCAAAATGACTCTCCATGCACATGGGAGAGAAACAAAACTGAGAAAGCACAGACAAAAAACATTGAATAAGATATTACTCAAACACAGATAAGCTTGTTGTGTCTGTAAAGATGGAATAAGTGAAATTTAAACTCAGTCCTAACATAGGGCCAACCTTCATTTCAGAAGTTGGCTACAGCTTCACGTGAAGAAATTGGAAGAGGATTTGCAGTGATGTGGTGTCTAAGTTATTCACTCCTGCGCAATTTCTCTCTCTATTGATGCTACTGTGTTACTTCCAACACCAAGAATGTTAGAGAAAGCTGGAGAAGTAATCTAAGCAACGGGGGAAGCATTAAGGTGTCTGGGTAAGGTCGATCACAGAGGGGTGATGAGTAAGAAGTCACGGCTCATCTCAAAAATGAACATCATGTATGGAAAGGAGGTAAAAGACCCGCAGTTCATGTACAAAGGAGCTAGGGAGGAAATTACTTCAAAAAGGCAGCTGCCTCTGGATCACTCTTAGACCCACCCACTAGATAAATCATGTTAGACTTTTATCATCACTCAGTCAGTATCTGGGAACTCACTAGTGAGCAATTCTGTGGAAGCTCCTTCTCCACATGGCCTGCAGTAGTCTAAAATATTCAACTGACAATTTCTCAAGGCTAACTTAGGATGGTCATTAAATGCTGGCCTGGTCTGCATTCAGATACAGGTCTGTCAAATGCTTACTTACGTCTCGAAACTGCATAAAGCCAAGCTCTCCCAGCTCGGAGATGCAGCAATACGCAGCCTCAACCTGCAGAAAGAGCTGCGTTAGGCACATCTCCTCACTTCGGAATAAGGATGCCATCCTTCCGTCGTTTCACTGGGGAAGAAGATTTAATGAGTGCAGTAAGTGATACTGTTACAACTCACTGAAGTAGCATGCTGTACATTGAGCTCACTATTCCTGGACTCATACCAAACATTAAACGTTTTCATTAAGACACACACAAGTACCCCAATTTATCTGGCTTTCAGACCAAGGTTGATGGAGAGTGGAGACCAGTATTAAACATGAATCAATTATTAGTGATTAAACTCTAGCTACAGACATAAACCATTGGCATATAACACAGAGTAAGAGAGATGTACAGCATGGAAACAGTCCCTTCAGTCCAACTTGTCCATGCTAACCCGATATCCTAAATTAATCTAGTGCCATTTGGCAGCATTTGGCCCATATTCTTCTCAACCCTTCCTATTCATGGACCCATCCAGATGCCTTTTAGATGTTGTAATTGTGCCCATCTCCATTACTTCCTCTGGCAGCCTGTTCCATACACACGCACCACCCTCTGTGTGGAAAGAGTTGCACCTTCGGTCCCTTTTAAATCTTTCCCATCTCACCTTAAACCTACGCTGTCTAGTTCTGGACTACCCTATCCTGGAAAAAAGACTTTGGCTATTCACTCTATCCATGCCCTCAAATTCCCTTATAAATCTACACACACACACACATACACAGAGATAGAAAAACTGCAAATATCAGCTCAGTGATCTGTGTTTCCCAATACAGTTTCAGAAAATTGTAAATTATCACTACCTGGTAGGATTAGATCTTTTATTTCTTAAAGACAACAACCATTTTGATTTACTAAAACAAGACAAACAACTGCAGATGCTGGAGATCTGAAACTAAAATAAATTGTGGTGAAACAAAACTGAGCATTGGAGGAAAAAGCCAATTTAAATATTTCAGCCCTAGTGACCCTTAAATTACATTACTTTTGGTTATGCATTTGACTCTGAGCATTATTATCATAATTTGAATGAAAGAGCTGAATTCCAGGAGTGAGGCGAGAGTGACTATTGGTTTCTCTCCAACACACTCCGCTGATTGGAGTCATATCTAGCACAAAAGCAACTCAGCTTCAGGACATCTCTGGGAAGTTCCTCAGGGTACTGTCCTAGGCCGAAGCATCTTCAGATGCTTCATCAATGGCTTTCTCTCTATCATGAAGGTCAGAAGTGGGGATGTTCACCAAAGATTGCATAGTCTTCAGCACCGTTCGCTACTCCTCTGATACTGAAGCAGTCCAAATGTTCAAATGCAAAGAACTAGACAGTACCCAGGTAGGGCTGATAAATAGCAAGTAACATTCACCAGTGCCGGGCAATGACCATCTCTAACAAGACAGAATCTAATTAAACCTCATGACATTTAATGGTATTACTATTACTGAATCCTACACTATCAAAATCCTGGAGGTTACCAATGATGAAAAGATGAGCTGGACTACCCATGTAAATACGATGGCTGCAAAAGCTGCTCAGTGGGTGGGAATTCTATGGTAAATAACTACAGTCCACAAGGTGCCAGTCAGGAGTCTGGTAGAATACACTCCACTTGTTTGAATGGGTTCAATTTGAACAACACTCAAGAAGCTCAACAGCATCCTGGTGAATAGCACCCCATCCATCACCTTCAACACTCACTGCCTGAACCATCAACACACATTAGCAGCAATGTCATATCTACAAGATGGCTGACAGCAACTCCTACAACATTGTCCAAACAAGCAATGCCTACCACCTCAAAAGGCAACAGATGCACAGGAACACCAAGCCACACACCATCCAGAGTTACAAGTACAATGCTGTTCCTGCATAGTTGTTTCATGAAGATTCATGGAACTCTCTCCCTATCAACCTTGTGGGCTACCTTCAATCCAAGGACTACAGCAAATCAAGATGGCAGCTCAGCATCACCTTCTCCAGGGTAATTATGGAATCAGCAATAAGCACTAGCCTAGCCACTGATGCCACATCCCACAAATAAAATAGAAGATACCAGTGCATTTTAATTGAGTTACCAGTAATTTACTTCCACTCTTCAACTACTGGTTGAGCCATTCTATTTCTTGAAACTTTTCATTATAACTTCCATGATAACACAAATACAAGTTTTCAACAGCAAAGACCACAACCTTTACAAGGCAAATCCAGTAACATCTGGAGAAACCATGTGACCTGGTGTCATCTGATCAAGTGTCACATGGACACAGTCACATGATCAGCACCTCCTCCCAAAAACCAGAATGGTTCCAACCAAAATCACTGCTATAATATAGAGTGCTTTAAGATCTTCAAAAGGAAAATCCGCAAAATATTTTAAAAATCTGATACATTGGATGTTTGTTGAGATAGTTTAAACCAGGAAAGAACAAATGGGCAGAAACTTTTGTAACATTTGTGCTAGTGCCAATACAGTGTGTTGTCTTTACCTTTTCGACATTCTTTAGAAACTGTTTATCCTTTTTAACGTACATGAGAATTAATTGCAGGAGCTGTCTTCTTTAGAGACCTTTGAAATCTCACTGTAAGGGTGGAGTTGACACTCTCATATTCTCATGGAAAACTTGCTATTGTTACAATTTGGCAGAGGAGTCAAGTTAATTTAACATAAAAGTTTTAAAAGTTCCACATAACTTCCTGACTTTGTGCTTCTATTTAAAGAGTTTAAGGATCCCATATGCACTATTAATTGCATTTTTAACTCCTGTCAGGTTCACATATCATTCACAAGCATTACTAAATGCCTCTGTTCTTCACTGTTTTAAAATGTGGCCATTTAGCATATATCATGTCACACTATTCTCCATTTCAAAATGTATCACCACACCTTTTGCATTGAATTGCATCTGCTATATGTCATTTATTCTGCCTGTACTCTTGCAATCAGTTGTTATCTTCCTTAATTCTCCCAGGTTTTGTGCTATCTGTGATATGACCAGACCCTGAGTAATTTTTCATTGTTTGTTACCATTCCAGACAGACTAGCCAAAATGATAGACTCCTCGCAGTGAGGAAGACTGAACTGGTTCCCTTCTTTATTCGCCCAGCCCTGCAGATTGTATATTTGCAATGAGGTTAATTTGGAAAGGATCCCTTTGCTTATTTATACCTTTCTCCCAGATCCCAATGAATTTCTGTTTTAAATGCAGCCAATTTTAACCAGACTTTCAGACATTAACAAAGAGTGAGTTTATTAACTAGCACACATAAGAAGAAGCACTAATGCAAAAAACATATTAGGAACAAGAGGTAAGTCCGAAAAAGTTTTTTAAACTTAATGATTAAAAAAAAACAAACAGATACACACATCAACATTTGAAATATTCATAAAGAGCAGGTAGTTGAACATTGTGTCTTTTGCAGTGCAAATTATTGGTAGAGTTGTCATTGTCAGTTGAACAGATGGTTTTTGTGATTCCTGGTTTTGTCAGCTGGTTGAAGTTCCACTGTGATGATCCCTTTTCAATTGGTTTGCAGCATCCAGAGTGAGAATAAATCTTTACCTGCAATGCGTGAGGGGATAGTCCTTCGAATGTGGCTTTTACAGCATGCTAACATTTGAACTCTAGCTGGTACACGTGAGAGTGTTCAGTCCCACTAGTTCACACCAGTGCAGTTGAAACTGGATTTTTATCCTCTATCCTTGTTTATTTTTCTGAGAGAAAAACACAAACAATGTATGCAGTTTGGCATACAAGCCACAATTTCCCAGTCCCTGAACAATGTGTACATTGATGAGTCCATTGAGACTATAATGTGAAAAATTAGATTCTTGACATTGGAAAGAAAACTCCAATTTTCCACGGCAACTAGTGAGCAGTGAGAGGTCTGTTTACATGAATTTCTATTTCATTATCCCCTTATCTTACCCTTTTTTCACTTCAAGAACCAAGATAACTTACTGCAATTATTAGAGAGGTAGCAAGAACTGCAGTTGTTGGAGTCAGAGACAACACAGCATGGAACTGAAGGAACACAGCAAGCCAGGCAGCGTCAAAGGAGCAGGAAAGTTGACGTTTTGTGTCAGGACCTTTCTTCAGAAGAAAGGTCCCGATCCAAAACATCAACTTTCCTGCTCCTCTGATGCTGCCTGGCCTGCTGTGTTCCTCCAGCTCCATACTGTGCTGTCTCTTGTTCCTGCAAATTATATTTGTGTACCGGAACAGGGATGTCTTGCTGCAATTATACTGGGCCTTGGTAAGGCCACACCTGGAATATTGTGCGCAGTTTTGGTCTTCTTATCTGAGGAAGGATGTTCTCGTTGTAGAGGAAGTGCAACGAGGGTTCGCCAAATTGATGGCAGGACTGATGTATGAAAAGATATTGAGTCGGTTAGAATTGCACTAACCTGGAGATTAGAAGAATGAGGAGTTTAAATGCAGAAAGGTTGTCCCTGATAGTGTGGGAGTCCAGAACCAGGAGTCATAGTTTAAGGATAAGGGGCAAACATTTTAGGACTGAGATCAGGAGACCTTCCTTCATCCATAGAGTGGTGAGCCTGTGGAATTCACTGCCATAAGTTGTCAAGGATAAAACTTTATGTGTTTTCAAGAAGGAGGTAGTTGCAGCTATTGCAACTAAAGAGATCAAGGGATACGGGGGGGAGGGCAGGATTATGAGATGGAGCTCGATGATCGGCCATGACCATGTTGAATGGTGGAGCAGGCTTGAGGGGCTGAATAGCTTAATCCTGCTCCTATCTTCCATGTTTCTATGTACATTTAAATGCAGCTTCCAATTCTCCCAGATGCTAGACAAAAACGAGAAGGCGACAATCGCTGACATGAACAACAGAGCGGAGACCTGGTGACACCAGCTCACTGCTAGCTCCACTGTACCTCCACTTTGGACGGCAGCGCACAACATCCCAGGGCACACTCCATGGGCAGCAAGCACCCAAACCCCTGGCCATGGAGGTTGGGGTCAGACAATTACTAGCCTCTTCACTCATTCATGGCACATTTCCAACCCATTTATAATACGGAGCTGTACTTCAGTTCTACACTAGAGGGCATCAACACCTTTCATTCTAATGCTGCTACCAGTGTATTTTGGTTGAGTTGTGCACAGAGATAGGCAACAAACTCTTGGACTGGACCAGGGTGCATCTCAGAACTCATTTTCTCTCAGCATTCGTTCTCCTTGTGCCTGCTGGGTTGGTCACAGCATCTCTGGCTTGCCTTATGGTGCTTTGCCCCTCAGTCAGAGCTTAAAGACTCACAGTATTTCTGTTGTACCTTGCAGTTTAGCACAGACACAAAACCAAGCAGCTGGTCATGGTTGTCAGCAGTGATCAGTCAAGGAAGAGGACATGTTGCTCTCGTGAACTGTGAAACGTCAATCTCATTCCTACACCAGGTACCAACAGCTTATTCAACAAATACACTGCACGTGTTTCAACCAAATGGCCATGTCTCAATGTCATAGAGCTGTAGAATCATACAGCATAGAAACAGACCCTTCAGTCCATGCTGACCAAGTTTCCTAAACTAAACCAGTACCACTGCATTTGGCCCATATCTCTCTAAAACTTTCTCACTCATATATCTGTCCAAATGTCTTTTAAATGTTGTAAACTGTACCTGCATCTACAACTTCTTCTGGCGGATCATTCCACATATGAACCACCCTCTGAGTGAAAAAGTTTCCCCTCAGATTCTCTTTTAAACCTTTCTCCTCTCATGTTAAAAATATGTATCCTAGTTTTGAACTCTCCCACCCTAGGGAAAAGACCTTGGCTATTTGCCTTACCTATGCTCCTCATGATCTTATAAACCTCTGTAAGGTCACCCCTTAACCTCCTACACTCTAGTAAAATATTCCCAGCCTATCAGCCTCTCCTTATAACTCACACCCTCCAGTCCTGGCAACATCCTGGTAAATCTTTTCTGCACCCTTTCAATTTAATAATATTCTTCCTATAGCAGGGTGACCAGAACTGTACACTGTACTCCAAAAGTGGCCTCAACAACATCCTGTACAACCTCAACATGCTGTCTGAACTCCTATATTCAAAGGTCTGAGCAATGAAGGCAAGTGTGCTAAATGTCTTCTTAACCACCCTGTCTACCTGTGACACAATTTTCAAAGAAATATGTATCTGAATCCCTAGGTCTCTCTGTTCAACAATATTCCCCGGGGCCCCACCATTGACTATATAAGTCCTGCCCTGCTTTGTCTTACCAAAATGCAATATCTCACATTTATCTAAATTAAACTCCATCTGCTACTTCTCAGCCCATTGTCCTAATTGATCAAGATCCATTTGTAATCTTAGAAAACCTTCTTCCTACCTATTGATTACAACAACAATTTTCATGTTACCAGCAAACTTACTAACCATACGTCCTAAATTCTCATCCAAATCATTTATGTAAATGATTTCATGCCATCTGATTAAGTTGTGAAGGATTTGAGAGGAACACTGGTTGTAGTCGCATTTCCATTGGCTTTATCCACATTTGAATCTTAGCTAGATTAGGCTAATTACAAGGACAGACTGAAGGCAGAGATAGCCTGAAGCTGTGTCACTCATAGTTATACTCCAAACACTCTTCCGTGTCATTTGGCAATATTTATTATTTAACGCAGGAAACATCAAATATGTTTTTAACCATAACAGATTGTATCTCTGGGAATTGCAGAAAGGGTGTCCTGTAAACCCACATCTGAAAGGTCAAAATTTTACATGAGGAGTTCCAGTTATTTTCGCAAAAGCTCAGCTCTGAGGAATCTGTTGGAAGAATTAACAGTAGGTGTAATATGGTGTGTAAATAGCCCTGTAATTTGTGAGATAGACACAAGCATCAAATTGCCACGAGTTGCTGAATTATTTGTGTCTCCCCACTATTAGCTTCATGAAAACACGCTATCAAGCTGCCCGATCATTTCAAGGAACAGAGTATTTACCCATAATGCCAACATGGCGTCTTGCATTTGCAAACATGGCCCATGATATCGGTCGGACACAATGAGCTACAGGAGGCACCTCTGTGTGTCATGTTACCAGGCGTCCTCAGCCACCGCTGCCTGAGCACGAGATCATGTGCAGGGTCTGGGACTGTTCCCACACCCTTAGCCCTTCCCGCTACCTCATCCCCCACATCCCCAGCCCAGCTCCCCCTCCTCTTCC